TTATGTGCTAGAGATTGCAGATTGTTCCCTGTCCCTCAGATTCAGTCCACAGAGTATTATGTGTGCCTTGGGAACATTCATTACCATGGTGCAGTAAGAGACTGGCACTAAGCAGTACCTCCTGGCTTGGGTGGGACCTGTACACTCCCTAGTGCCCAACCCCACCCTCTTCCGCTCCCTTACTACAAATGTGTTGCCATTTGTCACGTGGATTGAGCTCATGTTTTTCTTACATTCATTGGGTTTCATTCATTCACAAACTATTTTTTGAACACCTGTGAACCAGGCACCGTCCTGTTTTGCTGGAATAAAGAGGGAACGGACAGATTATAAACATGTAAGTAAAGTAAGAAGATGTAAGTAAAGTATATAGTATGTTAGTAATCAGTGGCAAGCAGAAAAATAAAGCAGTGAAAGGGCCTAGGAAGAATCAGGGGTGGGGTTGGAGGGCCAGGAGAGGCTATGTAAGGAATGTGACTTAAGTTAAAACCCAAGAGAAATGAGGGAGTGGGTCATGTGGATATCCGGGGGCAGAACATTCCAGGCAGATGGAACAGCAAATACAAAGTGAACAGGTATGTCTGGTATGTTCCAGGAACAACAAGGAGACCAGTGTGGCCAGAGCAGAGTGAATGTGAAAGTGTAGTGGGAAAATGATTGTATGTGTGTGTGTGTGTGGTGGGGCGTGTAAATTATATATAGAGTCTCATGGGCATCGTGAGGACACTGGCGATCACAATGAATAAATGGAGAGCCTTGGAGGGCTGCTGTGTTCAGACCACTTTGCAGGGGGCAGGGGTGGACTAGGGACACCTGATAGGAGGCTATCTCTATAATTCAGGTGAAAGAGGATGCAACTTAGAATAGGTGGTACCTAGTGGAAATAAAGAAAGGAAAAGAGTTAGAGATGTATTTGGACATAGACGTATTTTGGATCAGAAATGGCTAGTAGGTTTGGATAAAGGAGACTGGTAAGGACAAGAAAGAAGGCCTCCCTGCTGGTGCAAGGAGGTCCTTGCAGCCACTGCAGCACCAGTTCGATCCCTGGCCAGGGAGCTAACCCACATGGTGCAGCAGACCTCTCCTGTCTTACCCACTGCTCCCCTCAGCAGTGTATTTCAGTCAATCTGCCTGTTCTGTGCCCCACTCTGTCTTTGGTGAATCCTCTTAGTCCCCCTCCCCTGTGCCTCTAGCCTACACCTCAGCTCTTGTGTGCATAAATAAAATAAATTTAAAAAAAGACAACAAGAACTGAATCTGGACCAGGAAACCAAGATTCTGGCGATTTTTTTTTTTTTTTTGCATACAAGAGCTGAGGTACAGGCCAGAGATGCAGGGGATGAGAGAATTCACCAGAGACAGAGTGGGGAACAGAACAGGCAGACTGACTGAAATACACTGCTGAAGGGAGCAGCGGGTGCATCAGGAGAGATCTGCTGCGCCATGTGGGTTGTTCCCTGGCCGGCAGGGAATCAAACTCATGTTGCAGAGCCTGCAGATTGCTTCATTGTGTGGTGCTTAACCCCTTGTGCCACCAGGGAGGCCCCCTGGAGATATTTTTTGAGAGTAGCACGTCTATTCTCTGCTGATTGATAGAGGTGGAATTTGAGAGAGAGGAGTCAAGAATGACAGCAAGTGCTTTGACTGTGGCAATTGAAAGGCTGGAGTTGCCATTTTCTGATACTGGGAAGTCTGTGGTAGAAGCACATTTGTTGGGGAGATCAGGATCTCAGTTTTGGAGAGGTTGAGCTGAAAGGTGCCAATTGCTTACCCACATGGAGAAGACAGCCTCCGTTGTAAAGCAAAAACAGCAGTTCAGCTCAGGTGCCAGTTCCAACTGGGTTGTGCTGCCTGCAGCACTATGTTGAGACTTTGAAGACCCATCCAAGCCCAGTGGGAAATAACTTCTTGATCAATAGTGGTGAAGCCTGTCTGGGGAGCTGCAGAGTAAATAAATGGTGAATTCGGGATATAAGACTTTCCATTGTAAAGTAGAAAGAAAATTGGAAAAAAATCTATTTGTATGTATTTTTGTCTGATCCTTTTAATATTTCTTAGTATGTTCTATACAGTACAAAATAGAGTAGCAGGAACAGACATAGTTTAAACATTAAGTTTTCTACATGTAATATATAGGAAGAGCATGCTCGAACAGTTTTTACTAAGTAATGGACAAGCATTGCTGATTTGAAATACAGTGCAAGTATAACTGATGCTCAAAGTAGTGGCTTGGAATAGCCCAAAGTGTCTCCTGAATCCTTGAATGAAAAACAAAATGATGGGCCTCTCTGGTTGTGCAAAGGGTTAAATCTCAGCACTGTGAAGCTATGGCCAGCCACTGCAGTCAGCCCCTGCAGCAGGAATTCAATCCCTGGCCAGGGAGCTAACCCACATGGCACAGCAGACCTCTTCAGTCTTACCCACTGCACCCCTTAGCAGTGTATTTCAGTAGAGCCACCTATTCTGCTCCCCACTCTGTCTCTGGTGAATCCTCTTACTCCCCCACCCCCAATCTCTGGCCTATATCCTAGCTCTTATATGCATAAATAAATAAAATAAATCTTTCAAAAAAAAGAAAAACAAAATGATGTTCTCTTTGGCTTAATGCCTGATTTCTACTATGAAATATATATTTGAATCCCTCACCTGTGCAATATTTCTTTTTTTTCTCATGTTTTTTTTAAAGATTTATTTATTTATTTATTCATATAAGCACTGGGTACAGTCAGAAGCGCATGAGGGTGAGAGAATTCACTAGAGCCAGAGTAGGGAACAGAACAGGCAGAGTGATGAAATACACTGCTGAGGGGAGCAGCGGGCGTGGCAGGAGAGGTCTGTTGCACCATGTGGGACCCTCGCCAGCGGCCAGGGATTGAACCAGCACTGCAGAGGCTGTGGGCAGCTTCGCAGCCCAGCGCTTAACCATTGAACCACCAGGGGAGGCCCACCTGTGCAATATTTCTACCAAAAATATTTCATCTCACCTAATCAGGAAAAGTTAGACAAATCCAATTGAAGGCATATTGTATAAAAGAATTGGCTTTAAAAACAAAAATAAATGTTATCAAAGACTTTTTTTTTTTTTTTTTTTTAAATATTAAATTTTATTTTTATATTCCCCCATACAATTGCAAACGCCCCATTCTGACCCCAATCCTTCCCCTCCCGCCCCCCACCCCCCAAAAAGTGTCTCTGGTTCATAGTTTTTTGTTGATTTTGATTTTCACTTTCTTATATTCATTTTCCTGGTCCCTTATTTAAGTTTTCTAGATTCCTGCTATGAGTGAGACCATTTTTTTTTTTTTTTAAATCACCATAGCGCTGTTCTAGAGTAAAAGAAATTTAAGAGTTAGGACAACACTTCAAACATGATCCTTGACGGAATCTTGGTTTGAGAAAGAGAAATGCTATAAAAGGATGTTATTGGAGTAATTGGGGAACATTGTGAACAGATTACTTAGGATGTTTTTGAAGCATGAGTTTTCTAATTGTGATCTTTTTTTAAAAAAGATATATTTTTATTTTTTTATGCATACAAGAACTGGGATATAGGCCAGAAGTATGGGGTGTGAGAGGACTCACAGAGATAGAGTGGGGAGCAGAACAGGCAGATCTACTGAAATAACACTGCTGAGGGGAGCAGAGGATGAGATAGGAGAGGTCTGCTGTGCCATGTGGGTAGCTCCCTGGCTGGGGATTGAACTCATGCTAAGAGTGGTAGCTGAGATTTTAACCCCTGTGCCACCAGGGAGGCCCATGATTGTGATCTTTGTTTGTGGTTATACAGAAGACAGTCTCATTCTTTGGAGACACAGGCTGAAATATTTAGCGATGAGGAATTGTGATGTCTGTAATTAAGTCTCCAATGGTTCAACAAAAAACATAGATGAATTTAGGTGAAGGGTGTGTTAGTGTTCACTGTGCTATCCTTGCAGGTTTCCTATAGGATTAAAATATTTCAAAGTAAAAAAAATTCAGAGGAAATAGTATCCATATAGGTTTTTCCAATTCTCAGAAAACTTGGAAATCTAATAATGATGTATCAGACCAATCTGAGCATACTAGACTGTTTTGCTGGTTGGAACACTGACTTCACTCTTTGTGAAGCAAAGAATTTGCCAAATCTTCTCCACTGTGGTTATATTCCCTGAAATTTATTATATTCCAGGTGCCTCCACATCCATGCTATTGCATTTATTATCATAAATAGTCTCTATACAAGAAGAGGCTTGTGCGTCTAGTACCATAGTCACACCTGATTTTTTTTAAGGGCTAGCCATGCGCCAGGCACGGTTCTGGATTTACACAGATAAGCCTATTTCATCGTCACAGCCACTCCATAGAGTGCTTCTATTATCACTATTTTCAGATAAGGAAACTAAGGCACAGAGTGGTGATGTCACCTGCCAAAGCCACACAGACAGTGAGGGGGGGTGGAGTGGGGTGGCAGAGCTGTGTGACTGGGGCCTGCAGTATCCACCACCCCCTCCCTGACCATGGCAAGCCAGATCATCCATTTGCTAGAGCTGCCATCCCGGGAGGAAGGCTTCTACACTCAAATTTTTGCTTTTCTCTGAAGGATTCTGGGTCTTGTCTATAGCAGAAAGGATACCCCTTGAGAGAGGGAGGAGGTAGAAGGGGCAGGAGAAGAAGGAAGGGGAAGAAGAGGACTAGCGGGAGGGGGAGAGAAAGGAGGAGGAGGAAATTCACCTTCCTTGAATGCTCACCATGCACCAGGCAGAGATCTTTTCTGCCTGCCTAGTCCTTAAAACTGCTCTGTGGGGTAAGACTTGTTATCCACACTGGACAAGAGGAAACATAATGAGAGGTTCCAGATATTCCTTTGAACTCAAGCAGCCTGACTCCAGAGCCTTGTCTACCTCTCTGTTTTGGGAACTGCAGCTCCTCAAATGGCCCTGACTCTACCTGTCATTGCAGGGGGTCTGAAAGTGAGCCGTAGGATGTAGACAGGCCTCACCCTTACCTTTTCACCCCCACAGGTCTTTGCTGGGGACATCTTGATGATGAAGAGGAGGAGCAGGAGAGGGAAGAAGAGGAGGAAAGCATGGTATTCTTCCTCCTTGGGGCTTTTCCTCTGAGAGTGACATTCCATTCCCAGCCTTCTAATTGGCCTAATATTGAGTAACTTTTTCTAATTGAATGCACTTGGGCAGAAACTCCTTCCCATATTGACTGTGGTCATTGTTTTGTCTTTTTTGTTCTTTCATGAAAAAACAAGGGGGGTTGGTGAGGGCTGTTCCTTTGAGGTGAAAGTAATTGGTTAAGTTCCCAGGCAGATCAGCCAACCTTTCGGGAACTCCTGTGCCCTGGACCTGTCACCTTAGAGGACAGCCAGCTTGTAGAGGACCCACTTCTGAGCCCTGGAGGCACAGGTGACTTGGCTGTGTGCTTGGTGGCCCCAGGCAGGGGCCAGGCAGGGATCTCCCTCAAAAAAACTTGCTCCCCAGGAGCTCCCTTCCTCAATGAATAAATCAACATCCAGTAAATCAATAAACATTTATAGAACAGCACAACAGGCATTAGAATGAAGTGCTTAAGAACTCTGAAGCTAGACCTGGTTTAAATCCTGCCTCTGTGGCTTACTAGCCGTTTGACCTTGGGCAAATTATTTAGTTCCTCTGAGCACTGGCTTCCCTTTCTGTAAAATGGGGGAGGGTGGAAATAATAGGATCCTTCTCACAAAGTGAAAATGAAACGGCTTAACACTTAGCAAATATGCACAGGGCTTGAAACACCGTGAACACGACACAAAGGCCTGGTATTATTGCTGGTGGTCACAGCACAGTGCTTGGTTGTGCAGAAGAGACAGGCATCTGGGACTTAAGCAGAGGCAGTATAGTATTAAAAGTAGGGTGAGTTTGCAGGAACTATATAGAACTTCCATAAGTCATTTAATTCCATTATACCTAAGTTTTCCCATGGTGGGTTATAAACACTCTACCCAGTGGCTGGAATGTAATTGGCTATCATTACATATGTTTGTCTTCCCCGTTTTGGGAACTTACACTCTGGCAAGGGAGAGAGCAGGTTCAGAAGCAACCAGTCAAGTGCAGGGCATGTGCAGCGGAATCTAGTTTGGAGTTTGGAAATCAGAGGTTTGGTTCCTGTAGCTGTTTTTTTTTTTTTTTTTTTTTTTAAAGAATTATTTATTTATACAAGAACTGGGGTACAGGCCAGAGGTGTGGGGGGTGAAAGGATTCACCAGAGACAGAGTGGGGAACAAAACAGGCAGACTGACTGAAATACACTGCCGAAAGGGGCCTCCCCTGTGGCGCTGCAGTTGAGTGCTGGGCTTGGAAGCTGCCGGCAGCCTCTGCAGCGCCAGTTCAATCCCTGGCCGCCAGGCGAGAGTCCCACATGGTGCGCAGACCTCTCCTGCCATGCCCACTGCTCTCCTCTGCAGTGTATTTCATCAGTCTGCCTGTTCTGTTCCCAGCTCTGGCTCTGGTGAATTCTCTCACCCTTCTGCACTTCTGACTGTACCCAGTGCTCGTATAAAATAAATAAATAAATCTAAAAAAAAAAAAAGAAATACACTGCCAAGGGGAGCAGCAGGTGAGACAGGAGACGTCTGCTGCGCCATGTGGGTAGCTCCCTGCCCAGGGATCAAACTTGTGCTGCAGTGGCTGCGGATAGCTTCATAGGTTGCGTCTTAACCCCTTGCACCACCAGGGACACCCTGTAGCTGGGTTGTTTTAGGAAGGCTTCCTTGGAGGGGGTCTGACCTGAGTTTGCATCGGAAGGATGAATAGCTGAACTGAGCAGAAAGGATAAATGTGCTGACTGGTGATAGAAAGGGGAGTTTAGGAGTTGGGGAGTGCAATGAGGAGCCCTGCCACGTTTTCAGAGGTCTGTAGAGAAGATCCTGCTATTCTCTCCTCTTTCCTATATCCTTGTCTAATTGCAGTTTTCCCTGCTATCTAACTTATACCCCCCTTGCTGTAGTTGAAGATCACTTGTCTCAAGAAGTGAAGAGTAATAGTTATTTTAGACTTTTAGTTATTTTAGACTATTTAGAGTTTTTTCTCTTAAAAAAGATTTATTTTTTATTTATTTATGCAGGCAAGAACTGGGGTGTAGGCCAGAGGTGTGTGTGTGTGTGTGTGTGTGTGTGAGAGAGAGAGAGAGAGAGAGAGAGAGAGAGAGAGAGAGAGAGAGAAAGGATTCATCAGAGACAGGGTGAAGAGCAAAAACAGGGTGATTGACTGAAATACACTGCTGAGGCGATGAGTGGGCGAGAGTGAAGAGGTCTCTTGCACCATATGGATTAGCTCCCTGGCTGGGACTTGAACTCGCACTGCAGTGGCTGCTGATAGCTTGATAGCACTACTGAGACTTTAACCCCTGCACCACCAGGGAGGCGCTAAATGAGTTTTTTTCTTTCAAACTTAGGATTTAAAAAATTTTTTTCAACTTTTCGTTTTGTGGGATTACATTTTTGCTCTTCTATACATGCACATTTTCCACTACCTCCACCATTCCCCACCTGTGCCAATCCCCAATCTGTCTCCCTCCCTATCCCATACTTTCACCCCTCTAATCCCTCTGGTAACCATCATATTCTTTCACTAAGTTTAAGATTTATTCCTACTATATTTTGCCTGTATATGGTTTTTGGTTATTTATGTTCCACAGATGAATGAGACCATCAGATAGCTTTCACTTTTTGACTTATTTCACTTAACATAACTGCATTGAGGTCCATTCATTTTGTTCTAAAAGCCACTTTTTCATCTTTTTTTCCCCCACAGTTACATTATATTCTATTGAGTATATATTCCAAAATTTCCTTATGCAGTCATCTCAGTGTGGTTTTGAGCAGAACAAATGAATTTTTTTTTAAAAAAGATTTATTTATTTATGCATACAAGAACTGGAGAGGTCTGCTGAACCATGTGGGTCATCTGCCTGTCTGGGGATCGAACTCATGCTGCAGTGGCTATAGATAGCTTCATAGTGCTCAGTCTTAACCCCTGAACTGCCAGGGAGCCCTGGTGTCTTTATAAGCATCTTTCTGCCTGACATTGGGCATAATCAGAATGACAAAGACACTTAGGTTGCTCCCATGTCCTAGCTGTTGCAAATAGTGCTGCAAGAAACACCATAGAGCAGATAGTTTTTTGATAGATGTTGCCATTTATGGCAAAGGCAAATATTGGGGGGAAAACAGATGATTGGCAATGTAAAATACTTTTAAAAACTAATAATCATTAATAAACAAAGTGAGGTGTATGAGGCTAACTGGGAGGAGGGAAGGAAAGACAATCAAAGGGGATATAAGGGCCGGAGGTAGAAAAAAAAAATAAAAGAAATCCACAATGAACCAAAATGAAAGGCAAACAATGAAATTTTAAAAATTTCAAAATATAGGACAGAGAAAAAACTATGAAAAAAGGTTAATATAATGAACACTTGGACATTGATAAAAGTTGTAAACATCCCTATAAAAGAATGGGCAAAGGACATGAAAAGGTAACTAATTTGTATAAGAAATATAAATGTCTAATAGGTCAAAATATTATTTCTAATAGGCCACTTTTCATATCTCTAGTTTTCTTTCTCCATAAAGAAGATGTGGTATACATACAGTTATGTGTCACTTAGCGCTTCTGTCAATGATAATGTTTCATATACAAGAGTGGTGCCAACAGGTTATATCACATAACCTGGTGTGTAGGAGACTATACATTTCAGGTTTATATAATTACATTTTTTTCTTTAAAGATTTATTTATTTATGCATACAAGAGCTGGGGAACAGGCCAGAGATGAGGGGGTGAGAGGATTCACTAGAGACAGAGCGGGGAGCAGAACAGGCAGACTGACTGAAATACACTGCTGAGGGGAGCAGGGGGTGAGTCTGTCGGGTCTGCTGTGCCATGTGGGTAGTTCCCCTGGCCAGCCGGGGATTGTGGATAGCTTCACAGTTCTGTGCTTAACCCCTTAGGCCACCAGGGAGGCCCAAAAATAAATATTTTTTAAAAATTTGTTTATTCATGGAGCAATTTTAGAAAAATAAACATTAACATTTAAAAGGGTTATCTTTAGATTGTGAAATTATAAGTATGTATTATTTTCCTTTTTTGGTGGGCTATCTGTATTTTCTAAGGTTTCTACAATGAAAATGGATAAATCCATATGAGAGCTACAATAAAACTTATATAAAAAGAATTAATTCCTTGAGAAAATACTTAGCATAAAACTTGAGTCTTCTATGCAGTGTCATTCCTCTAGTAATTCAATTTGAGGGGCTTCCCCAGGAAAGGTGGGATCCCCAAGGCCTCTTCCCATTGGGAGCATTGCTGGAGGCCTGTGGTTTTGTGGAATCCAGTTTGGAGAAGACTACAAAGTAACTCAAAGTTTGGGAGGTGGAAAAAAATGGCTACTGGAAGATTTTACAGGGTCTGACCAAGGAACTCCTTCAGAGAGATCTTGCTTCTCCGCCCACATTTTTCCTCAAACAGAAACTAAGACTACTTAAGGGCTTGTCCAAGGCCACACAGTCGACTTAATGACAAGGTGAGGCCTTGAGTCCATGGCCTTTCTGCCCGGTTTTATGTCTGCAATGTGCTGATTTAGACCAGTCCTTCTCATACTTTAATGTAGACAGGAGATGTGTTAAAATTGCAGATGTGATCCAGGAGGTCAGGCGTGGGCCTGAGAGCCTGCATTTCTAACCAGCTCTTGGGCAATGCAGATCTTGGCTGACCTGAGGAATCAGCTTAAATAACAAAGTGTAGAGCCTCGTCGATTCTGGAGCCACTCAGCTTTTCTGTCACAGCTCTGTCAGCTGGACGGCTGTTATATACAGCGCATCAGTCACCTCATCCGCAAAAGAAGTAGTGCAATACTTAATTCAGGATTTTCGTGCGCGCTTAGTAAGTTATTACACGCTAAATGCTTAGAATAACAGAACAGCAATTATATTACTTATATTCCCTAGAGCAAGCAGCGGGTGAAGGAGCGTTGACGAATGAATGAATAACCTTTGCAGAAAAGTTCTTTCCGGGCGCCTAGAGTCTGCGGAACAAGACTGCAGGGCGCTTTGGTGGGGAAGAGGCCCACCTCCAAGAAAGTTCTTTCCACCGGGGGTCAGCGCCCGGAAGCCGGCCCGCCTGCGCCCCGCGGACCAATGTGGCCGCCGGGGGCTTGGGGGGAGGGGGGAGCGCCCGCCAGCCCTTTCCGTCTGCGGCGCCGACGGCCCCGCCCCTAGGAACGTTGCGACGTTTGAGCATTCCACGGTTGCTACATCGTCGCGAGGGGCGGGGCGCCTGTCAGGGAAGCGGTGCGCGCGCCGGCGCGGGCGGGCTGGGGCTCGGCTGCGCAGTGCCAGCACCAGCACCAGCACCAGCACCGGCACCCACCCGCGCTCCCCGGCCCTCTGCCTGCGTCGTGGCTCGCGAGCCCGCACTCCCTCCTGCCTGTGTGCCGCCGAGTATGGAGCTGCTGTGTTGCGAGGGCACCCGGCATGCGCCCCGGGCCGGGCCAGACCCGCGACTGCTGGGCGACCAGCGTGTCCTGCAGAGCTTGCTCCGCCTGGAGGAGCGCTATGTGCCCAGCGCCTCCTACTTCCAGTGCGTGCAGAGGGAGATCAAGCCGCACATGCGGAAGATGCTGGCGTACTGGATGCTGGAGGTACCGCCCGGACGGGGTCTCCCCTCCCCCGCCGCCCCTGAGTGCGCGGCTCCGGAACTCCCGGGGCCGCCCTGCAGGGACATCCTGGCCCCCCAAACAATCAGCAAGATGCCTCGGTGGCGCAGACCCTGGGCCCGGCCTTTCACGCGGGCACCCTGGCCGACAGCTTCCGTGGGGTCCCTTCCCCTTCCCCAATTCTGGCTGTGGTTGCCGGTCGTCTGGCACCCTAGCCGACCCTCTCTTTGGGTCGGGAAAGCAGGACTGGGGCCACTCGCGCCCCTCCGCTTCGCTCTGTCTCTCCTGCTTCCCTCCCCCGCTTGGTCTTCTCGGGAGCGCACGCCTGGAAAACCCAGGGCTCCACCGCCCCCGCCCGAGAGCCGGTTCCGGTGTCGGTCGCGGGGTTCTGGCGGGGAAGGAGGTGGGGGTGGCGCGCGCGCTGTTCCGGCCGTCAGGGAAATGAAAAGTGCGGGAGGCGCGGCGGGAGTCTCCTCCCTTCCCCTTGGGTGTGTGCGATGGGTGACGGTAATGGGGGTAAGGTAACCAGTTTTCTGGCTACCTTGTACGACTCTCCCGTGCCCCCCTCCGCTATGGGGGAGGGGAGTCTCAGTTTGGAATCCTTAAGGAAGGGAGGCTCTGGCGCCCCTCCCTACCCCCCACCCACCCAGGGGGAGGAGGCAGCGCGGAGGAAGTGGGGGGCGTCACCTTGGGGAAGGCGCATCCTCTGTTTTAGTCCCTGTCTAAGTACACTTAGCCATCTCCCATTTTTACTCCCCAATTCATCTCCCTTCAGACCTTCCCCCCCTTGAGTGCTGCTGCGTTTCCCACCCCCCTGCTCCAGAAGTGACTGTGCACCTTCCCCCAGGTGTGTGAGGAGCAGCGCTGTGAAGAGGAAGTCTTCCCCCTGGCCATGAACTACGTGGATCGCTACCTGTCCTGCGTCCCTACCCGCAAGGCTCAGTTGCAGCTCCTGGGTTCGGTTTGCATGCTGCTGGCCTCCAAACTGCGAGAGACTAAGCCCCTGACCATCGAAAAACTGTGTATCTACACCGACTACGCTGTCTCTCCCCACCAGATGCGGGTTCGTGCCCAACCCTCCCCCCTACCACATACTGCCTCCTCACCGGGAAAAGGAAAGCTAAGACCTCAGAAGGTTTCTGTTCTCTGGAGAGGGAGCATGGCTTGCAGAGGCTTTTTTTAAAAACAAAAGATGGGGCCCTGTCCAGTGATGTCAGGGTAGAGCTGCCAGCTTTAACTAAATCCCCTTCTCCTGACCTCCAGGGGGTGCCACTCCTTCCTGGTCTTTCCCCCAGATAGCAACAAGTCAAACTGCATGTCTACACTCACTAGTACTTTGCCTCTGGGTTTACACAGCCACCATGAGTTATTTATTGGCAGCAGAAGGACATGCCTGCACACCCCCACTGGAGAGGGGGAGTGGAATGTGCTTCATGTGGGGGAGGGGGGCTCCCTTGGTTGAGTATCCCAGTGTGGACTTTGTGATAGAAAAGCCTCTGAGAGTGGATTAAAGCCAGGCCCTGATTGCTCTAGGGAAGGGCCCAGGAGTTTCATCCCACCTTCTCCTTCCCCTTCAATCCCAGAAGAGACAAGCTCTTCCTAATCCTGTATTCTCCCTGTCCTGGTTCTGAGGAACTTGAGCAGCTGCTTAGGGCCCGGGTGGAATCATCTCTCCTTTTCCCCCTTAGTCAAAGGCTGAAGCTGAGGGGCAGCCTGGGAGTTGAGCTGCAGCTGCTTCCGATGTGATAATGATGCCCCCTCCCTGGCCCGCCCACTCTGACCAAGGTCTTTCATAACTCTGTGGGGCGCTGCTGTCACTCTGTGGTTTGGGAAGTGGCTCCCTGGGCCTCTTGCTGGGAACTTAGGCTGGGCTCTTCCTGTGGCCAGGCAGGAGAGTGGCTGCTTCTCTTTCCTCACTGAACCCGGTGAGGCGGTGCTGAGATGTGGAAGGGGTTACTTAGGGCGTGCAGATTATCTCCTGCGTGGCTCCGGGGAGAGGGTGGGTGAGCTGGCACCTTCTTCTACCTTGCACTACAGCCAAGTCTTCTCCTGACCCTGAGAGGAGTCTCTGGGCCCCATCTCCTGGGGAGGAGGGCAGCATGCAGGCTGCTGTGATTGGCTGGCGGGGAAGCCAGGGTACTGGGGCCCCCGACTGCTGCTTGTGGAGGAACAGGATTCCTCTTCCTGCCAAGTAGCTCTCAGAGATGGGAGCAGGAGGCCCCACAGTTCTTTGTGATGAATCTGGTCGTTTTTGGCCAGTCTGAAGGTAGAGTTCGTTTCCAGGGTCGAGGAGCGAGATGTTTTGGAGGGGTTTGGGCTGGAAGGTAGAAGGAACTTCCTTTTATGAAAAGATGGGATGGTGTGTGTGCCTTTGTGTGAGGGCAGCTTTTCGGAAAAGGCAACTCCCCCCCCCCCCCTTTGCCTGAGCTGGGGGTGGAGCTTGCAGATGCCTTCCTAGAAGGTCAGAGTTGGAAGGGACCTCCGAACTCCATTCAGTCCAAATCCTTGTGCAGCAGAGAAGGCTGAGGCCCAGAGGTGGTTAGGGTCCTACCTCAGCATTGCACTGAGAAGGATGAGGAGAGTCTGGGCCTTTTAACTAGCCCAGGTGGCCTTAAAGGCTGGGATATGACAGACACCACCAGCCTCTGCAGCAAATTGTGCCCAGGGGTATGTTTTGTGCCAAGCTATAACTGAGGTTCTTAAGGACTGTGCAGGTCTAGGGTAGGTTAACTGCTTGCCTTCACCCAAGACCCCAGGTCTTCTACAGGGAGGCCTCTCCCTCTGAGTTGCCCTCTAGATGTTTCTTGAAATCTAGGTGCTTTCTGTTCCCTTAAGTTAGGATCCTGTTTGGCCACTGGGACAAGCAAGGCAAGTAGAATGCCAGCTTTTTTGGGCTAACTTCTGGCTCCAGACAAGGCTATTTTTTGTGGAGTTCTGTGAGGCTTGGGCTGGGAGGATGACACCTAGGCGCAGGCCAGGAGAGGGGAGCTGTGGCTGGGGGCCTAGAAGAGTTTGGGTGGGGTTGCCATTTCTGCTTCAGTAATGGATCAAACCCACTAGTTCCTTCCTGAGATAAAACAATGAAGAAATCCTAGTATGTGCAACTCAGAAATAGGTCCAGGGCTGGGAACCCCAGCGTAGATTGGGGTGGGGTTCCCAACCTCTCTCCAGCACCTAGCAGGGTGTATAGGTTCAGAATAGTAGAGAGAGGACTTGTTCCCTCAGGGGTCATCTGGACCTATCCTGTCAGACCTGGCTCCCACTTTTTCTGAGATAGACACTATGGGTTCCTAAAGGGAAAAGGGTGTAGAGTGGGGTACTATACCTCAATACCCACCCCCAAAGTCCCACCAAGGGGATGTGGGTTGGGGTTGTGCAACATCCCCTTTGAGGAACCTTGGGGGAAGTTCAGGAGCTGTGTCACAGCAGGCTTGGCCTTCTGTTCGCTCCCCTTTCTTCAAGAGGTATGTGCTTGGCTGGGATGCAGAGTTAGGGGAGAGGCTAGTGATGACCTTCCCATACACAGATCCTCGGGGTTATAGAGAATCTGCTTCACCCCAGAGTGAAGCAAGTTCATGGTGATGCTGCTGCTGTGATCTTTTCTTTCAGCCATGGTTCAAGAAACTATCAGAGCCCTGGGTGAAGTCAGGACAAGTCCTGATTTATTAGCTCCAAAAAGATAACCAAATAGGATTTAGAGACAATACATATACAGCGTGTAGTTCTGGCATCTAAGCAGATGATCAGTAGATGCCCCCCCTAACTCTTTCGTGCCCTGGACTCTCCACAATGCCAGTTCTTAAGCCCAGAAGCAGAACTAGGGTCTTGACCTTCAAGTTTGATTGATTTCCCTGTGCTGTGAAACTTCTGCTTTATTCCCTCCCCTTTCCTTCTTCATCTGCTCACCCCACCCTCTCCCCCACCCTCCAGGACTGGGAGGTGCTGGTCCTGGGGAAGCTCAAGTGGGACCTTGCCGCTGTGATTGCCCATGACTTCCTGGCCCTGATTCTGCACCGACTGTCTCTGCCCCGAGACCGGCAGGACTTGGTCAGAAAGCATGCCCAGACCTTTTTGGCCCTGTGTGCTACAGGTAAGAGCCCTAGGCACATTTTTGTTAAATCGAGAAAATTAGAATACTTGGGTGAGAAGTAACTAGGAGATTCTGGTTTATATTCCCTTTAAACTTTGAAAGTGATATCCCCTCTGAACACCCAGTTGCTGTACAGAAAAGCAGAACATTATTAGAGCTCTATGGGACCTTGGAGACCCCCTGTATGCTGGAGTGGACACCAAGGGCTTAGAGAGAAATGACTTACTTGCCTAAGGTCTCACAGTAAGTTGGGAAAATCCAGGTCTTTGGACCCATTTTGTTTCCACACCAGAGAGGGGCTGTGGTATCTGGCCAGGGTAACTTATGGACCACCTTGGGCCTGACCTATGTAAGTCTGTTGTTCACCTTGATCCTCTGTAGGAAAGAGGCCTTTGCCTGCCCTTCTTCGTCACACCACCACTCATTGCTGGGTTTCCCAGTATGTCCCCTACTTGGTTCACACTGCCTGGCACCTTCTGAGGACTAGGAAGTCCATGCTGGTGGTTATCCTTAAATGCCTCCTTGCCTCACTATTCCTTTCCCTTTCCAAGATTACACCTTTGCCATGTACCCGCCCTCCATGATCGCCACAGGCAGCATTGGGGCTGCAGTGCAAGGCCTGGGTGCCTGCTCTACATCCGGGGATGAGCTCACAGAGCTGCTTGCTGGGATCACGGGCACTGAAGTGGTGAGTGCTGGGCAGCAGTCTGTCATTCATGAAACACTGTGATTCCCCGAGCCTCCACTAGAGGGAAGTGTCTGTCCCCCAGCCTTGTCCCCACTCCTGGTTTCAAGAGGCCCACCCTTGGGGCTGCTGCCGCCTTTTTTCTCTTGAATTGCTCTGGAGAAAAGTGTTGGGTGGGTTGAAGGGCACTGTCCCTGAGTGCCCTTTCTTGCCAAATGGTATGCCAGAGTGGGGGTGGGGGGTTCAGTGTCAGATGCAGGACTGCTCTCACACCCTCTTGCCACATCCTCTTGCCAGTTTCTCAGAATTGAAGGCTGATTCCTGGGGCTAGGCTGTGGCCTAACCTCCCCAGACTTCCCTGTGTGCTGGGAGGTGTCCTTCCCCAACACCTGTTGCCAGATGATAGAGGGGAGGAAACAGCCTTTCATTCCAAAAGGGGCTTCCTTTGTTCCACTCAGCAACCCCTCCTTACAATACCCTGTGTTCCCAGGACTGCCTGCGGGCCTGTCAAGAGCAGATTGAAGCTGCGCTCAGGGAGAGCCTCAGGGATGCTGGCCAGACCTCCGGGAGCCCAGCGCCTAAAGCCCCCAGGGGCTCCAGCAGCCAGGGGCCCAGCCAGACCAGCACTCCCACAGATGTCACAGCTATCCACCTGTAGCCCGGGAGAGGCCCCCTCGAGTGGCCACTGATAGCAGAGGAGGGGACATTGCCACCCCCGTCCCTGCCTACAGAGTGAACCATGCCACATCTGAAGCCCGAGGGGGCTCCTTCCTATTTGCCCCTCATGAAGCCCAAGGGGTAGGTCCCACCTATCCCTGTGGTGTGCACTAAAGGGCCTGGCTGGCTATGTCTGGATAGCTGGTCAGGCTCCTCTTCCCTTGTATTTGACCAGCTCAGTTCCTTCCCATTGTAGCTGGCTATGTATGGATCAGGCTAGTCCGAGACAAAATTCAACTACGTAAAATACATGCACCAGCAATCCTTTTTGAGGCCCCTTTGACTCTGGGGCTCTCATGTTCTCAACTGCCAAAATGCCCCAGTGCCTTCTAAAGGTGTCGCACCTTCTAGAGTTACTGCATTTGGATAGGGGTCTTCCTGAAGAAATTTCAGATGTTCTGATAGACACGTGTGAGGGGAAACAGTCTAGACAGCCTTTCTTAACACACTTTGCAGGCCCTGCGTAATCCTGCTCACAGCTATTCTTAGAGGGGCCAGCACCAATCAATTCCTCCTTGCTTTGCTTTCGGCTCAGCTTCTGTGTGATTGAGGGAGGTAGTGCTGAAGGAAGAGGTAATTTTAATTTATTGATTGCTTTGAGTACAACTGTAAGAGGGCGTGGTGGGCCCCATCTACCCCACCAGTGGTGGTGGTAACCCTGGTGGTTGCTGCATCTCTCCCCTCTGCTGCTGGCTAGAGTATCTTTGTGGCCAAGGAGCTGCTATAGCCTGGGGTGGGGTGATGCCCTCCTCTCCCTCTGGCTCTTTGCCCCATAACTGGGGGGGGAAGGGGGAAGAAACAGGGCTGCCCTGGAGGTAACTGAGCCCCCTGTCAGGAGAGGGAGGCAAGCCCTATTGACACAGGTTTTTCCTAAGGCTACAAGGTCCAGGCTGGTGGCCCAGGACCATCATGCTACCTTAATAAAGATTCTGGAATAAAATTGGCTTTGGCTTCTTGGATTGGGAAGTTTTGTGGATAAAAGCCTATTTATTCCTAGATTGCATGAGGTTGTGGAGGGTGAAAACTAATGGTCTCAAGGGGGGGTCACGGGAGCCTTTTTGGTAAAAGGGTCAGGGTAAGTATTTTAGCCTTTGTGGGCCTTATGGTCTCTGCCCCAGAAATAGTCCTGCTTTATATGATGTATTTGTTCCTAAAAATCACTGCACTATGCAAAGTTGCACCATAAAAACCACAGGGTTTATGGGAAAAATGGGGTTTGGGGCCCAACACTCAAAACGTAGTGACTTTTTTTGAGAAAGGAAATAAAGAGGATAGCCGTTTTTACACATTAAATGGTTAAGACACTCCTAAGTACTATAAATAAGTCTCCTTATCTTGAAAGACACCTAAAGTTTGCTTGTGGAAGGGAAGGCTAAAAGGATGTGGGAAGAGTTATAACACCAGATGTGGGTGTGGCCCCCGACCCAGGAGGTGAACACAGTCGCTGATACATGTCTGAGGGCTGTGTGTGTGTGTTATCTGCCTTAGGTCAGCTGGGTGTAGTATTCAGCTTCCACCCAGTGTTTCTCAAGGACAAAACTGCACATAATCAAATTTGCTCCCCAAATACAATATATGGGTTGGAACAAATCCACCTGTAACAAATGTGTGTGACTAAGACGGGGTTAGAGCAGGCTGTACTGACTGCTGTCGTAGTATGAAAGCATGAATGCAAACAGATGGGTGTGACTGTGTTCTCATTTTGCTTACAGACACGAAATTTGAATTTCATGTCATTTTTACCTGTCACCAAATATTGTTCTTTTGATTTTCTCCCCAATCATTTATAAGTGCTAAAGGTCATTCTTTTTTTTTTTTTTTTTTTTTATAGAGGCATGCTTTATTTATTTGTTTGCTGGTTTGTTTGTTTGTTTTGTTTATACATGCACTGGGTACAGTCAGAAGCGCGGGAGGGTGAGAGAATTCACCAGAGCCAGAGCGGGGAGCAGAGCAGGCAGAAGGACTGAAGTACACTGCTGAGGGGAGCAGCGGGCGGCAGGAGAGGTCTGCGCGCCATGTGGGACCCTCCTCAGGTGGCTGGGGAGCAGCCGGGGATCGAACCGGCGCCGCAGAGGCCGCGGGCAGCTTCGCAACCCAGCGCTCAACCGCTGCGCCAATGGGGAGGCCCGCTAAAGGTCATTCTTAACCCCTGGGCTATGTAAGCGAAAGTATGACCCTAGTTTGCCAATCCTTGTGACACTTTCATTAGCTAAGACAGTCTGAAAGGGAAACTGTCCGGTGGAGATTGGACTCTTACTCTCTGATCTTTCTTGTTTCTAACTACTTTCCTCTGGGGGCTTTCTCCGTGGCTCTCCCATCTGCAGCTGAGAGGAGACCATCTGGTTGCTGGCATTCTCTCACAGCAAGCTGTCAGGGGAAGCACGGTGTGCGCCCTCTAGGGGCCAACAGGGTGGGTGTACCCTGATTAAGAGAGGGTCCTCTGTATACTGGAAAAGAATCCAATTCTAGACAGAACAAAAGAGAGTAATTGCCACCCCTATTGATCACATCAGAACACAGAAGTTCAATAAACATTTGCCATTGTTTTTTTCTACACCTCAGTGACTTGACACAGCAGCCTGAGATGAAGTACTTACTTCTAGCCCCAGCTGGGGAGCAGAATCCCCACGTCAGGTCTCAAAACGGAATAGGGACTCAGGCCGAGAAAGAAAGAGGGAGCCAGGCAGACCCTCAGTCCTTTCTGCCACGTACTAGGAAGTCACAGCTGCCCGTGGCCTCTCATTGCCCTGATCTGGAACTTCAGCTCTCAAGGCTCACTGTCCTCTTTAGTCACCAACAGGGGTCCTGATGTCCTCCCATGGCACTCAGGCCAGGGTGAGGGACTGTTTCCTCACTCCATGGTAACGGGAACATCTTCCACATCCCGGGGGACTGCGCTCTGAAGCTCACGCCTGATCTCGAGGGACACTTGTGGATGGGGCTGCAAGCGGAGCAGTTCCAGAAGGGCCTCCTTCTGCTCTGTGGCCAGGTCTGCCTTGTAACGCTGGGCCAAAGTCAGAAGGCACTGGTGCCAGAGCACGGGCAGTTCGCGCTTCTCTGTCCGAAAACCCAGAAAGTGGAAGACCAGGGCATCCAGCACGCGGTAGGGCAGCGCGTACTTCTTATCCAGCAGCAGCCGCAGGAAGATGCTGTTGGCCCCGCTGTATTCCATTTCGGCTATTTTCAGCATGGCTGCACTGGGGGGGGGGGGGCGGGGGAGGGAGGTGGGGTGGTGGTGGGGTAAATGTCAGAGAAAAGATGCAACTTCTCCGCCTCTTACATTGGGTATTCCTCAGGGGCCAGCTCAGACCACCTTCTCACCCACTGATTTTACCATACTCCCTGGACTCCAGTTACCACCTCTACACCCATTCACTGCTTCCATGCTCAAATCCCTACCTCTGGCTCAACTATTTCTGCATCCGGCTAGATTATGTCCAAAAGCCTCATCATCTCCACCACATCTATTATATTCCCACGTTCCCAAGTCATTTAACTATTACCTGAGTACCTTCCACGTGCCTGGCACTGGAATCCTCTCCCTGTGGAACTAAGATTCTACTGGGGTAAGAACACACTCACTGGCTTAAGCCACAAAACCTAGGGCTGTTCTTAGCTCCTTCCACACTCTGTACCCCCAACCCTCCACACCCCAGTGCAGGAGATTCTACAATTTGGATAGGCACCAACCAATCATCCTTCACCCCCACCAACTCTACCTGGAGTGCAGCACAGGAATGGAACATTTGGTGATGATGCTACCCACGATGATGGCTTCCCGGAGGGTACAGGTGCCCGACTCACACAGTGGGATCAGGATTCCTGGAGAGGGTCAGAGTGGCAGTCACTTGGAGCCCAGGGTGAGACAAAGGAGACACAGCAGGAAACAATACATAACCCCTGTGCACCTCCCCCCCAACTTCAGAGAGCGCCACCTCCTCAGTCAGAACTGCAGCTCAGTCCGCCTTTTCTTAACTGCCTCCTGGGTTCCCACCTTTGAACCAGGCTCCTGGCTTGAACAGGGCCTTCTTGAGTGCCATGTAGAGGTGGAAGTTGAGCCGTTTGTATTCAGCTATGTCATCTCGTACCCGGGGGAGCAGGACGAGGTTGTAGAAGCGCTGGGCCATGCGTTCCTTCAGGTTAGAGGCAAAAATCCTATTTTGGGGGTTGGGGGAGGGGGTGGAAAATCACTTGATACTGTGGAGCTGGACCTTTAAGCATCGCTGTGGATAACGCAAGCAAGAGATTTGAGGGCAACTACGTGTATTTGACACCCAAGTCAGACCACAGAGGGAGCAGAAGGAGATACCCAAGCAGGGTAAACACTGTGTTCTCCAGAGCTCTTCCAAAACGATGGCCGCTCAGCTGTTCACCTTCCCCTGCCCACCAGGGCTCCTCTTTACCCTGCTGTTGTGAGGGGCTTGAACACACCCATGGAGCCACAGATTTCTGTGGGCGTATCCCAGGTAGTTACAAGCCTCTCCCTTAGAAACTCATCACAGGAGATTCTCCATGAGGTCTTGGAGAAGGATAAGCTGGGAAAGCGATACAAAGAAGCTTAAAAGAGAACTCCCAAGAAAGCAAAGATGCATGGCAAAGGCATGCCTGTCCAACTTGTGGGTTGGGTCTGACCCTCACCGAAGACCCAAAGCCACCCCACCCCCAGCTTCTCTACCTTGTGGCTTGGTACATGGCAGCTGCAGTCCAGGCCTCCGGCTCTGTGACATAGAGGATTTGCTCCCAGTTAGAAAGTGCAGGGATGATCTTAAACGCCTTTGGAAGCTTCCCACTACGGTACTTAGACAACACCTAGAGAGGAAAGGGCAAGAGTATCATCTTGTGCTTTCACATCTTTACTCAGCCCTCACAACAATCCTGTAAGGAGGTTCCTCCTCCTCATTTTTCAGATGGGAAAACCAAGACCAGAATTAAGTCACCATGTCACTAAGTGGCAGAGCAAAAATAGGAACCCAAACATTCTCACTCATGTTTGCTCTCTGCCAAGGGGCCCTTATTTGTATGAGAGATGTGGGCACCCAAAGCCTCAGGTGCCACCATGGCCCTCCTCTTGGCTCTTACCTCCCGGACCCCTCTGTAAACCTCCAGGACCCGGGGGTCCAACTGTGGCATAGGGAAGCCCGACACCTCTGACATGACCGTCTCAACCTCTGTCTGCTTCTCAGTCAGCTTCTCCATGATGATGTCAGCCAGGGTACGCCTAAGATTAGGGGAGGTGAAAGGACAAAGGGAAAGGACAGGGAAGTGCTGTGGTCACAGGCGAGGAAGTTCTACACTCCCCACATAGTCCCAGGTGAACTTTATAACCTGCAATCTTGCTGTGATGTGCAGCCTCAGTGTCCCTCTAGGCCCAACCACCTAGCACCAGAACTGCCGCAGAGTACAGAGGAATGGAAGTCATTCAACTAAGGGCAAAGCTGGAGGTTAAGGATCTGGACTCTGAGGCCAGTGTGTATGGGTTCAAAACCTGGCTCTTCTATTCCCTGCATGACCTTGGATATGCTATTTATTGACAATAACTAACTCCTAATGTAAGATTAAACAAGTTAATGCATGTCTGTTACTTGTAATTAGCACAAAGCAAGTGTGTAACATGTGGCTAGTCTCAAATACGCCCATCAGATGCTGAGGATGCTCCTAGTTTATAAACCTCAATTATCTACCAAGACTTCAAGTAGCTGGGCTCGTCAGGGAGAAACTATAGCACAACCTTACCCCCATTTAAAATTATTGAAATCAAAACTTATGAAAGTATTTCTATAACTTATTTTTCTTGGGTGTCTTAACAAAGTACATTCAGCATAATTTTTGGCAATGATGTAGTTATTACATTGGGCTTTGGTAACACTGTTGTCTGCAGAGGCTGAAGTATACCACAGGCCCTCAGTTAATGTTGTCAATAGGTTCTCAGAAACTGAGAGGTTCTCGGAAACTTTACATAAAATAATGTATAATGAAATCAGGTTCTCATCTTGTTCTTTTCTCACAACAGGATGATGAAATGTTCAATAAAACACAATGTTCAAGGATGTGCTGTATCTAAAACTGTTCCTGTTTTCTGAGGGTCTTCTCAATGTCAGGCATGGTTCGTGCAACTTTTCAGAGGCAGCTGCACAATGCCCTTGTGAGTGCTAGTGTTCCCCTTTTACAGACATGGGAGTGGACTCAGAGAGGCTAATAACTCACCCAACGCCTCACAGCTGTCAAGTGGGGCCAAAGAATCAAACTCTGTCTTTTAGATTCTAAAATTCAGGTGCTTTAGGGTAGACTGGAATGTGCCCCCTAACTAACTGGCCTCCTACTGCTGAGTTCATGTGGACCTAGGCCTGCCTGCTAAAGATGCCAGTTGTCATTTTCCAAGGCTGTCCCTGTTTCCAGTCACTTTCCTCTTCCATTTATTGCAAGTTGGAAAATCATTCTGCGAAGTTTGTCAGAATTATCTGTTAAAAAGGAGTGATGAGGTGCTGAGTGAGAACCTGAGAGGCTCTCTGGGACAAGCACACAATTCCAGCACACACCCTGTGATACTTATTACAGCTGCTCTGCATCAGTCTTGGAAAGAGTGCTCTTGTCTTCGTTTTGCATACAGAAATAAGCTACTACCTAACTTATCAGTCAGGCTTCCTGTTTCTTCACAGCATTATTAGCAATGCGGGAGTGCTAACCCAAAACAGCCTGAGGTTGAGGGACCTTAGCCTAGACTCCTCTCCCCTGGGCTAACGTCTTTGGGCTCAGGAGTTTGGCCACAGGAGCTTCAATGCCTGCTTATATTGGAGCTAACACTTATTTATTCTAGATTGGAATAAATCAGTGGTTCTAATTTCACTCCCAATTTCACTCCCCTGTAGACATCTGGCAATGTCTGGAGACATTTCTGGTTATCACATTTAGGGGTAGGTCTCTACTGTTTGTTTTTTTTAAAGATTTATTTATTTATGCATATAAGAACTGGGGTATAGGCCAGAGACAGAATGCGGAACAGAACAGGCAGATCGATGGAAATACACTGCCGAAGAGAGCAGCGGGCGAGTCAGGAGAGGTCTGCTGCACCATGTGGGTTGCTCCCTGGCCAGGGATTGAACTCGTGCTGCAGTGGCTGTGGATAGCGTCATAGGTTGTGTCTTAACCCCTTGCACCACCAGGAAGGCCCTAGCTCTCTACTGTTATCCAGGGGGTAGAGGTCAGGGATATTGCTGAACAGCCCACAATCTACAGGATGGCTTCCACAAAGAATTATGCTGTCCAAAATGCCAATAGTGTCAAGGTTGAAAAACACTGGATTAAACAGTTTCAGACAGGAAAGCGACTTGGCCAAGAAAACTGAACTTTCCACTGAGAAAACTGAGTCTAACAAGACCAAAAGCAATAGGATAGATCTCTAGAGACATAAAAAGACTCATCTCTGCTTCCCCCAGTAATGTGGGGAGTTCTAGAACACATGGACAGAAGGGGAGGAGGTATTCTGAATCTCGGTCACTCTCAGAATGGTCCTTTGAGGATGGGCGAATTGTCATGGTGGTGACACCACAATTAGTAATGCTTGGACCCTTCCCCAAGATAGGCACTCCAACATTGGTTTGAATAGCACATATATTTTCCTGCTGGAAGTTGCTACCAGGACTTATTATCTCAAACCCAGGCCATCCCAGCCCTACCTGGCAGGAGGGTTCTTGTTCATGAACATCTCAATGGCACGCTCATCCTCAGGGTCCACAACCACCTCTGCATGGTGGACTGGCCCAGTCATCGTGGCAGCCTTCTCCAGGGTGGGCCATTCCTCATCATCTGATCCATCCTGGGGTATTCCTGGGCCTAGGAGAGGAGAGATGAATTGGATGAACAAGGCAAACAATGGGTTGGGTATTTAGAGTCAATTTAACTCAAATCTGCATATATGCTTGAATAGATACGGATGTGTGCAGCGAAACAGATGACCTACTATCTTCCTGTCCCCAGAGCTTCCAATCTTGCTTGGGAAATAAAATGTGTATGTATGAAAGAATGAAGAGAGCAATGCCAATAAAGTCAGCACTCCAGGTAGGTGGGAGAACTATTCTAAATACTGTTCCTAATCCTCATAACCCTCCGTTACAGGTGTATTACCACATCCAGTTTGAGATGCGCACACAACATAGGAAGATCAGTAATTTGCCTATGGAAAGTAGTTTGGGTGAAGAGTGAGCATTCTTCACCTCTATTGTACACATGTGGTAGGGGTGGACCACATGCTAAAATGAGTGGTAGATATGGTACATCAGAGGCACTTAGAAGATGCCTCGCGCAGAGGATGATCAGGATCTTGATAAGCAGTGTGGAGCTACAGGGGTGTTCCACACCTCGATAACAACACTAGCAAAAGTGCTTGGTGGCAAGTGTCTGTTAGGCATTAGCAAGAAATAAGACTAGACAGGTAAAGTGATGCCAGACTGTGAAGGGTCATGAAGTTAAGCAATAGAGTTCAAATTTAAGTGTACCAACCAATTGAATAACTGACTATTGGCAAGTCACAACTGGCTGGGTATCTGGAAAGGGTTAGGATAATCCAAGTGGGGAGGTAAAATGCTACATGTGAATAGGCATTAAGCACAGAGATATTGTGTGACAAAAGCTAAATGGGGGATGGAAGTGAATAGTCTCCACGTATTTAACAACTCCCAAACCTGTACCTATAACTGGAGCTCCATTTGCTCGACTCTAACTCTTGCTGCCTTCTACACAGTTGCTCATAGGTGACCCACAGGTGTCAGTTACATGTCATTAACCGAACACTCCCTCTTTCCTTCCTAGTCAACATTATTATGTTCTACTTCTCAGCAGATGGTACCACCATCTACCCAACACTAAGCCCAGAATCTGGGAGAAAGTCCTGCCCCATGTTCTGCCCTCATTCTCAATACCTCGTAGAATATCTTGCAAATCCTTCATAGCCCCTTTAAGCCAAGGTCAGTATCATCTTTCAGCTGGATTAATCCAACAATCCCTTAAATGGCCTTAATAGTCTCTAAAAGTTTTCCACTTCCTTTAGGAGAGCTTTAAATCCTGGGCAACTTGTAGACTTGGCTCCTAACCACCTCACCATAGTTCATTAATCCATCCAATCAGCAAACATTAGTGCTTACTATATGTGAGGCACCATTCTGGGTGCTGGAAATGTCCTAGTGGCTTTTTGCCATTATAGAGCTTACATCCTAATGGTGGTGACACACTGTAAATAAATATAGAGGCAACTAAGGTAAGGGTCCTAACTTGTCATATTGAAGGAACAATGAAGCCTACCCATATAGGTGGACAGAAGAAGGCAATGTTGAAAGCAGAAAGGTCAGAGTGTCAATGTGGGCAGATCATACGCATAGGGCTTTGCAGACTATCCTAATCCATTGTTCATTGAGTTGAGAGTTGATAGGATACTAATTAGGCTACAGCAGCACTTCAGATGAGACAGAGCTAATGACGTGAATGGGATGGTGTTTCAAGGTGGTGATCACACACATACATGTTTTTAGGGCCAGGCATGAGAACATGAATGACTGCATATATTTTAAAGACAAAGCTAACATGCTTACTTGACAGATCATTTGCGAAGAGAAAAAAAAGGAGATTGTCTTGAGCAAACTGAAAGTTATGATGCAAGGCAGACAGTGTGAGGATCAGTTTTAGGGTGGCTGGAATTTGTTTTGGACATGTTAAATATGAGATCTATTAGACTTCAAATGGGAGATGCCAGACAGGCAGCTGAAACAGAGGAATCTGGGCTTCATGGTAATCAGGGCTAAAATATAATATTGGGAGCAGTTACCAAACAATGGTATGATACTTAGTGTCAGCACCAGAATATAACTGATGAGAAGCAGTCCATGGACTGAACCAGTGGCATTTCAACTTTAAGGTGGAGACAAAAGAGGGTCAGTAAAGGATACCTTGAGGGGAAGACATATAACAGGAATGTGGGCCTCCCCGATGGCGCAGGGGGTTGAACACAGCGCTGTGAAGCTGTCCGCAGCCTCTGCAGCACCAGTTCAATTCCCGGCCGGCCAAGGAGAGTCCCAAATGGCGTGGCAGACCTCTCCTGCTGCGCTGGCTGCTCCCCTCAGCAGTGTATTTTGGTCATCAGCCTGTTCTGCTTCCCGCTCTGTCTCTGGTGAATCCTCTCACCCCCCCACGCCTCCGGCCTGTACCCCAGCTCTTGTATAAAAATAAGCAATAAAATCTTTAAAAAAAAATAAAGAAAAATAAATAAAACAGGAATGTGATGTCTTAGAGCCCAGGAAAAAGATACAGTAGCCAGGGGGCCAGTGTTCAACTGGTGAAATACCTCTCTCAGAACAAATGAAAGAGGCGCTCTGAGAAATGCACTCCAGGAGCTATTCATTCATACTCATATTATCTCTCTCCCCTCTCTCTCTCCTGCAATGAAATCAAGCTCATGTCTATCTTGTTTACTTCTGTACCCAGACTATCCAAACTAGTAGCCAACTTGTAAGCATATACTAAACAAATGGATAAATACTACAACTTGGTAGCATGAGCAATCACTTCCTTTTGGCCTAACTCCGGGGAGATTAGAAGGGAGTGCCTAAAACTAGGAGTAGGCGTAGAAGGCTTTGACCACTCTAAATCCACTCCAGGATGGAGGATGAAATGGGGTCTCCTATATAGTAGGAAAAATGCACACACATATTGCTTATGGCTTGTCCTGAGTTAATTTTCCAGCCCAAGCACGCGTCTCGAGGAATGTGGGGAACCAGTGCTATGTGAAGACCAGCCTCAGCACATTGAGAGGAGCCTGAGGCCAGGTGTCCAGGAGGGCGATAAGGAGCTCCGGGGGCTACACATCACAATCTTCTGGCAGCAGTGAAGGCCTGCTTTACTGCTAAACTCTCTTTGTTCAACTCACTATAAAAAGCCAGCTGGAAATGAAATGTTAAGGCGGTTTCTTTGGAGTGTTAACTCTCCCCACCCCTTCCAAATTGCCGGCTGTCTGATTAAAGCGCACTTTAAAGATTCAACTCCTGCCTCTACTTTATTGGCAGTCGGTGGTGACTGGTGGCCCGAAATCCGGTCTTTCGGTTACAACATGGGTGACTTATTTGATTCCAAGCTATTCATCTGCCGGACACCTTTCAGCCACCCACTTCCCAACGAACCACTCCTCACTCGCAGCCACTCACCCAGCCGCGTGGTGCGCTCCCGCGGCGCCGCGGGTTTGCCCCCAGTGCCATGCTCTGATTCGAGCTCCTCCTGCTGCTGCCGCGCTTGCTGCAAAATCCGCCGGGTGAGCCGGGGTCCCACATACTCTTCGTCCTCGTCTCCAGTTCCGCGACCCCGCCTCTTAGCCCGGGCCCCTGGGCGCACCGCGTCCCCAGCCAGGATCTGCTCGGCCAGCGGGGCATGTTTTTCCAGGCCTCCGGCCCCACGGGCCGCCTTGATTTTGGGCATTTCGCCCCAAAATGTTGGTGGGAAGTTTCACACGTGGGGACGGAGGGGGGAAAAAAAAAACACGAAAGCCCCGAGTGCGCATGCGCAATGAACCACCATTTCCGAAGACGCCACAGGGGAAGCACAGCGTCCCCTAGCGTTGGGAGGTCAAAAGTGCCAGTGGCACCATCCCACCCCCTGGACGAGCTCACGAATTGACTACCGAGTAAACTCAGTGCTTTTAACTCTGGCTTTTATAGTGGCGGCACGCCGAGCCACGCTTTCATCGCTTCGTGGTGCCCAGGATGCCCGGCCAGATAGGAATTTCCGGAGCTGCAAACCATGGGGCAGGAATACGGCGTATGACGTCACTGGAGTGTCACCCAGGAGGCGCCCAGACACGCCCGTGTTCCTCCAGGGCGCTCTGTGTTTACGTAGTTTCCGGAGCTCCTCCTTCCACGTAACTAGAGGTTGGTGTCTTCGGTAGTGTGGTGTCTTCGCTAGTGTGGTGTCTGCAGAGCACAGCGTTTCAGTTTTTCGATCCTGCCGCCCGCCTGGCCCGACGCCATGGGAGTGACTTGGTAGGACTGCAAGGGGTTTTGTGGGGCGGGGGTGGGGGTCTGGAGGGCCTTAGGGCCGAGAGACGACGGGGAGGAGGATCGTGACCAGGGTCCACCGTTCCCCAGGGAGGATGAGTGAGACTCGGGGCTGCCGATTCTCTGGGCCTGTTTCTTCGGGGATGCATGTCTTTCTCCTGGAAGGCGGTAGGTAAAAGGTTTTATGATAACCACATCAAAGGTTGTGTACCTCCTTCCCTTTTTCCTTGGCCCATGTTCCTGCTAGTGAGGTCATAGTGCTGCGGGGGTTGGAATTTAGGGTCCGAAATAGGATGTTCAGATTAAGATTTAGCTACAGGCAGGGCTGGAAGGGATAGTGGTTAGGCTACCAGGAGGCTGTCTTTTTTAGGTTTTTGCTTGCATCTCACTACTGCCACCAACTGTAGTTAGATCAGCCTGGTTTGGGTTCTAGTTTGGTAAATTTGAGGTCCTGAGTCTAGAGAGAGAAAAAAGAAGCTACTGAAAATTAGGAGAAAGGGGTTCAGGTTCTACTTCCAGCTATGTGTAGTTACATAGTAGATCTAGTTTCTGTGGGCTTTATGTCTCTAACATACTATAAGGGTGTCAGGGAAAAGTATGGACCTAATGCTCTTAGAGGAGTTAATTCCAAAATACTAGATTAGGACTTTCAAAATATATACATTGGTAAATGTGAGCATCTTGCCAGAGAGGACTGGAGGCCAGAAAATCGTTTGGCTCTAAGCTTCTCATAGAAAAGCCTGTGGGAACTATTCTTCCTGATAACTTGGTAAGCAGGTTTCACAGTGATTTTCCCCTTGTTTCCTACAGTGGACATTATTATCCTCCTTTAAATCCTCCAGCATTAGGATGATGTGTGAGGGATGGGGATGAAAAGTTTGCATCACAGAGATTTGCAACCGTGAAGGCCCCTGTTCATTTCAGTGGAAGAGGCAGATGGAAAGGACTCTCTCTTGGGACCCTTATCAACATTTTAAGAATCTAGGACTCCTTTCCCCAGTAGCATCAGTTTAGGGATTCTTATTTATTTCAAAATAAAGCACATCATCACTATGGCTTGTAAGTGGTTTTTGATAGCAAGGAGTGACAAATTTTAGCAACAGTAGGATTTTATGTTATAGCTTCATTTATGATAATAAAGTAATACAGTTTCTCACAAAATTCAATCATGTAACTGTCTTTATGATTTTCATATAGTTAAATCCTGTCTGTTCTGTTATTCACTAATGTTTTCTTTTAAATCTATTTCTTTTCCTTAAAAGTATTTTAACAGGCGACTGCTTACCTAGAGAAGCAGTCTAGTGTGGTGGTTAGGAGCTTGGACAGGGGACCAGTTTTCCTGACCTTGACTCTTGGCTAGACGACGCCACACTGTATCACCCTGTGCTTGTTTCCTTTGGTTTCCTTGTTTGTAATTGGGAGATAAATAATAGTGCCTCTCACAGGGTTTTTGGAAGGATTTGAACAGTTAAGTCATCTAAAGTCCTTTAGATACCGCCTGACGCATCATTGGTATTTAGTGATTGTTACCTCCTGGTAACCAACACCGTGGGAGTTACTTGGGTGGCGACTATTCTAAAGGGGAAACCACTTTCACTTACCATAGAAGGAAATCTTCTAGGTGACATTTTATGTTTCATTGTTTTGATTAAATTATCTTAAATCACCCCAAAAGATTATAAGCTCAAGACACGCTTTCTCTTTGATCCTAGGACTGTTGGCAGCAGTGAAGACCCGCTTTACTGCTAAACTCTCTTTGTTCAACTCACTATAAAAAGCCAGCTGGAAATGAAATGTTAAGGCAGTTTCTTTGGGGTGTTAACTCCCCCCAAAGACACCCTCTCCCTGCTTTTCAGAGTGTTCTGCCTTGATGGAAATATTCTCTATCAGCACTGTCCAGTAACACTAGCCCTCAGCCATATGTGGCTCTTGAACCCTGGAAATGTGGATAGTGCAGCTGAGGCTTTGAAATTTTAATTTGTTTTATTAGTTTGGGTGGAAATCGCTACGTGTGGCTTGTGGCTACTCTTCTAGAGGACATAAGTTCAAAGTGTTAGAGAGTAGGTGAAAACACAAAACCCAGGCTGAGGCTTTCTCCTTGATATAGTCAGAACTAAAAAGGATTGCAAAGGGAATCCCTTTCTTATCATAAGACTCATGTTATCAAGTGTTCAGCTGGTGTGTCACTAAAATCCTCTCTCAAATGGTGGCACACATACCTTGCTTAGAAAATGCTAGTGCAGTAGATAGTAAGTTCACTGCATTCATGTGACAATCCTGAGACCCATATTCTAGTTCTTAGCAGAGCTTTCAGGGATGATGGGCCTCTAATTTCTTGTCTTTGTAATGAGTGCTTGGGATAGGTGGTCTCCAAGGTAACACCTGGTCCTAATGAGTTGTGATTCTTTGGGTGACTGAGTGGCTCCAGAATGTGTTTCTCTGGATGCTAATGATTTGGTCCTTTCCCTTCCAGTGTGTCCCAGATGCCTGTGGCTGAGGGCAAGAGTGTCCAGCAGACTGTGGAGCTCCTCACTCGGAAATTGGAGATGCTCGGGGCAGAGAAGCAAGGAACGTTTTGTGTGGACTGCGAGACCTACCACACAGCTGCCTCTACCCTTGGCAACCAAGGTCAGTGAGATGGGTCTGCAGGATTGTTGAGTCAGGCAACACCACACTGATAAAGACACGGGAGTCGTGGAGCCGTCTGCACAAAGCAGGATGCTGCTGAGAGCAAGATCCTGGCTGTTTTTATTGATAGAATAATCATAGAGCATCAGCTACATGCGTTAGGAGGACAAGGAGACAGGATGGGTGAAACTCAGGAATTTTTTCTAGGGCTTGGGGGACACGAGTCTGCTGACCATGTTATCAGCTTCATGACCAAGTGTTGTAAATTGAAACTAGACCCCAGATCCCCAGCCACGGTCCTAATCTTATCATCAAGGCATTCCACTGATCAGCTTCTGGGGTCCCTTGTCATACATTGGTCCTTGGCCCCCCGGGCTTTCCCGGTCATACCTCATGATGTATGAGTCGGGAGTAAGTTTATGCATCCATCCTCAACCCCCTGCGTGTTCCCGATCATACCTCTTGATCATACCTTTCCAGAGTTATCAAGCTTTCTGCTCTTGATTGATATGAAAGGCACCTTGTAAGGTTTGGCTCATATGACTGTGACTGGACACTTCTGACCTTTGTGTAGCCACAATGCGGGCTGTACAGGCTGCTTAAATCTAGCAGACCGACACAGGATGGCTAGAACTTGGCTCGGAGTTGATAAACATTCATGTTTTCTAAAGTCTTTCTCCTCTTCTGCTAAGGATGGTGTTCTTTAACATGTGGAAGATGTGTTTCTGAATTCTTTAATTCTTGGTGTTTTATCTCTTAGACTGGACCTGGAATCTTCAGATTGTTTTTTGTTTCCAGTTTACACTTTTAAAGCAGTGTTTCTCAGAGGGCAAGTGAATCCTCTCACTCCCCACACTGTGGCCTACACCCCAGGTCTTGTATGCGTAAATAAATAAAAATAAATAAATAATCTAAAAAAGAAAAGCATTGGGAAAGATTAGAGGATGAGAGGAAGGGAGACCCCAGTGTTTCTTTCCCTCTCCCTCTGCGTTGGGCAGTGTCTTTGGCTGTGGCATTGTCTCCTAGTTGGTTCTAGCTCCTGCTAGTCAGCCTTCTTTCTGACTGTCATGACTGCATATCTTTCCCTTCCAACCTTGGGCATGCTAGTGGCTCCTGTTTTGCAGCTCTTTCAGTTGCCTTTGCTTTCCTTTTTGGTGTGTTAGTTCTTCCAACCCCTGTATTAAATCCCCCTAGTGAAACTCTCTGATACGGGTTTTGTTTTTGTGCTCTTCCCAGTATAGTTCTGTCATCTGTACAATGAAAATAATCATAGTACTTACTCTTAGTGGTGGCATGCTAACTAGATAAATTAATCAAAGGAAAAAACTGAGAGCTTGTCATGTAAAAAATATATAATAAAAGATAGCTAGCAGCTGTACTGAATTTCACTGTTGTTAAAAGTCACTGTATTACTATTTGTTTTGCCTTTGATAAGAAGGGGCTAAGAATCAAAAGAACAGTTGCAGAAGCATTTGGAAAACAAAACATTTGTTTATAGATATGATTATGTACTGCTTTTTTTCTTTGAAGAATTTTTTTTTTTTTTAATTTATTTATACAAGAACTAGGGTACAGTCAGAGGTGTGGGAGGGTGAGAGAATCCACCAGAGACAGAGCGGGGAGCAGAACAGGCAGACAGACTGAAGACACTGCTGAGGGGAGCAGCGGGCGAGACAGAAGAGGTCTGTTGTGCCATGTGGGAATCCCCCTGACCAGCCAGGAATTGAACCCACGCTGCAAAGGCTGCGGATAGCTTCACAGCGCTGCACTCAACCCACCGCACCACCGGGGAGGCCCCAGACCTTTACTTTTAATGTGCTACAGTATAATTGGGGGAACAACAGATACATGGCTACAGTGGGAAGAGCAATAAACCTAAGGTCAGAAGGCCTGGATTGGGAGTTCTGCTGCTGATGGCTCGGGGCCCTAGATCAGAGGTCCTCTCACTGACTAGCATTAACACCACCCAGAGAGCTTGCTAACCCCCTACCAGAGTTTCTGATGCAGTAGATTTGGGTGGGACTGAGAGTTTACATTTTTTAACTGGTTCCTAGGTGGTGGTGCTGCTGCTGGTCTGGGATCCATTAGCCTCATTTTCCTCATCTAGAAAAGGGCATTAAAACTGGTTTACTTGCTTGTAGAGAAATGAAAAGTTTTCATTGTGATTAAAAAATTAACATTGCCTGTAAGCAACTGGAAGTGTCTTTATTATAAAAAAAAAAAAACAAACCAGCAACAACAACAAACAAAAACCCTTTGGTGACTTTCAAATTATATTCAAGACAATAAGAACACCTGTAGACTCCTACAATATAAATTAAGTGTGCAATTATAGTGAGTTTGCATGAGAACAGAATGACAGTTCAGCTCTGGATGACTTGTTTTTGAGGGTTGATGTGTTTTGAGCTGAATTTAGTAGGAGGTGAAAAGTGTGAACTGGCAGCAAGCTGTCAGGGATGTGGGAGGTAGTTCTATGCAGAGCCTTTTGTGTTCTGGAAGTGGCAGCAAAATGCGGGCCTGTGCAGTCACAATGCTCCCTGCTTCCCTCTTCCCATCTCCTCATTCTTTTCCACTACTGTTTTCTTAGCCTTACCTAAATGTGTTCTTTCCTTCTGTCTGTGGCTGAGTTCTACCCTTTCTTCATAACCTATTTCAGGGTCTTGCCCATTTTGTTCTCTTCCTATTCTCAAGTCTCTCCTACCTTACAAAAGACTGCTGGTCTTTTTTAGTTTCCCCCCCCCCATCTCTCTTGTGCGATTGCCAGATTCTTGGAGCCAAGAGCTAAGCCCTCTACTTCTAAGCCTCTTAAACTCCAGCATGGTGTGCTTCGGAAGTATTTGAGGGTGTGGCAGTCCATTCATTAACTTTTGTAGTGTATGAGAGAAAGGGCCTGCTTTCTGTTTTTTGCCGCCTTCCATTTTCCTCTTAATCCAGTGCAGATAGCTTTCCTTCCTCCTCTTTCTTTTTTAAAGATTTATTTATTTATGCATGCAAGAACTGAGGTACAGGCCAGAAGTGTGGGGGTGAGAAGATTCACCAGAGACAGAACGGGGAACAGAACAGGCAGATCGACTGAAATACACTGCTGAGGGGAGCAGTGGGTGAGTCAGGAGAGGTGCAGGAGAGGTCTTCTGCACCATGCAGGTAGCTCCCTGGCCGGGGATCGAACTCGTGCTGCCGTGGCTGCAGATAGCTTCATAGGTTGCGTCCCAACCCCTTGTGCCACTAGGAAGGTCCAGCTTTCCTTCCTTCTTGAAGAAAGCCTATAGTAATCAAGAGAAGACATATTTTCCAGGGGTTGGGAGGGGTGAAGTGGAATTTAGAACTGTATCTTCTTGTTCCAGATTTTGAATTCTTTCTGCGGTAGTAGTGCTGCTTGCTTCCCAGTTGGCTAGACATTGTCAGGTTTTCCAAGAGTTCACCGTTGCCTTCGTAGTGAAGTCCCAACTTCTTGGCATGGTGGACAAGACTTACTGCAGCCTGGCTCTGGCCTACCTTTCCAGCTTCATGCTCAGATACCTGCGCCTGCTGCTTTCTTGGGGCCACTTCCTATATAGGTGAGCAGGATGGACAGAAAAGAGAGCTGCTGCTTTAATTGGTGTCTTTAAATGCTTTTACTTTTGTTTTCCTTATTATGTAACAAGATAGAGAATACTACGTAAAGTCTCTGATTTATTGCTCATCATTATTAAGCATCCCTGTACAAGCTAAAGAATTGAACCATTACCACCACTGCCAATGTTCCCTGTGTGCCCTATCTTTCTCTGTAGAATGGGGTGAGTAGTACCCCTTGCTGCCTCACCCACTGTTCCTCTCTGGAAAGGCTCTGTGTGAGGGGATTCCATTCAAGACCGCTGAGGTAATGTCATATTGCCACCTGCCTTGTTCCATGCCTTTGGATAGATCCTGGGGTTAGCTGACAAAGGCCTTGTTGCTGAGTAGACTCTCTGTCCTTGCAGGTCAGTCTGGGAAGCTGATGTATGTGATGCACAACTCAGAATACCCTCTGAGCTGCTTTGCCCTCTTTGAGAACGGCCCTTGCCTTATTGCCGACACCAACTTTGATGTGCTTATGGTGAAGCTCAAGGGCTTTTTCCAGAGTGCCAAGGCGAGCAAGATTGAGACCCGTGGCACCCGTTACCAGTACTGTGACTTCCTAGTGAAGGTGGGAACGGTCACGATGGGACCAAGTGCCCGTGGCATCTCCGTGGAGGTAAGACCTTGTTGGTGGGAGCAGGATGTACAGAAAGGGCCACTCAGCAAGGGGTTCTGAAGATTCCATGTCCCGCTGCTTTACCTGGACCCATCTGCAGAGCATCCGTGTGCCATGTCCCCTTCCATCAGTCATATGGGCACTCTAGCCCAGTATGGGAAGTGGGAAGCCGGACTCAAAGCAGGTAGAAAGCTTAGGAAGACTGGCTTGCTGGAGAAAGGAAGAGATAGTCAAGGGAGGCAGGGCCTAGTCATCATCATGAGGAGGAATAGAGCAAACCAGGCCAACTTCTGGTGCAGCTAAGTTTTGGGAGCTGGGTCCTAAATCATGTGTTCACACACTTCTCCTTAGTGTACTTTAAGAATAGTTCTCAAAAGTTGAGCAGCAAAGATGTGGCCTTTCCTTTTGATAAGCTGTCCACTTGCGTAGAGGCAGGGCTGTGTGCCTAGATGTATATATTGAACATGGCAAAGACAGGAAGAAGCAGTAGTTGACTTTGGGACCAATGAGAGTCCATTGTCTACTATGTGCCCAGCACTGTGTGAGATTTAAAAAAAAAAAGCCTGCCTTCGGAAAATTTATGATTTAGAAAGAGAGCAAGTCCAGAGTACGCAAACTGTTTTTTGAAGTTAGTCTAATAAGAAAATCTACAGAGGCGGCACAGATTGTTGTGGGAATTTGGGCCTGTAAGTGAACCGCTGTATTTGGGTTTGTTATTTAAACCACCACCATTCACTGGAGCACCTTTGTGCATGCTCTCACACCAACACCCTCTTCTCTGTTTGCCTCATTTCTGCTGTTGAAGTCAACTACTATATTTAAAATTTTTATTTATTTATTAACTGGGATCCAAGCCAGAGGTGCAGGGAATGAGAGGATTCACCAGAAACAGAGTGGGGAGCAAAACAGGCAGATCTACTGAAATACACTGCTGAGGGGAGCAGCGGGGAGACAGGAGAGTTCTGCTGCGCCATGCAGGTTGGCTCCCTGGCTGGGGATTGAACTCATGCCGTAGTGGCTGGTGATAGCTTGATAGCACTGAGACTTGAACCCCTATGCCACCGGGAGGTCCCTGCTAGTTTATTTTTATTGTTTTGTCTATTCATCAACTTTGTTCTTTTGTATTAACGTATAGGTGAAATCATCCAATACTTGTGTTTCTACTTCTGATTTTCTTATATTTTGCATAATCCTCCCTACTTATCTCCATTTTGCTGCAAATAGCAAATTGTCATCATTTTTAAAAATCACTGAATACTATTTTGTTTATTCTCCCATTGTGTTTATATATATCACATCTCTGTTACCAGTCATCTCTCAGCTTGGGGATTAAAATGCTTCCTGCAGGAGTAGCATTTAAAGAGGCACTTAAAATGTAGAGACATGGAAATAAAGCATCCCTGGTGGAGAAAAGGGCATTAGTGGTAGTTAGCTCTAAAATGCCATCTACCTCTAAGGGTAAGATTTCCTGATCCCTTTCAGCTTGAGATATACCTTGTATTGCGTTTGTGCTTATAATTCTGGAATCTACAGTTTGTTTATTGTCTTCATTTCCGACTTTAGAGTATAAACCCAAATGAAAATGCATACATTGTGCAAAAATGAAAAATGATGTAAGAATTATATAAAATAAAATATTAAAGAAAAAAAAGAGCATAAACCCACCCCAAATGTTTCTTTGCTTGTTTCTCCATATGTTTACCAATAATTTCCCCGGCACAGTGGCTGGGAAATTATTCCTTAGGGTCAATGCCCAGGCTGGGTCTACCTTAAGAGTCATATTTCTCACATGCCTACTCTGCTCTCTACTGCCCCCTGCCACCACTTTTACTCTCATTTCACAGAATTTTCCTCAAATTTTCACCCAATGTAATGGGCTACACAGACCTGAGAGTATCAGAAGTGGCCTAGATCTACTTCTGGGTCTTGTGAGTAGGACTGTGGATTAACTCCAAGTTTTGAGGCTGTCAGAGATGCCCAAAGGGAGTGATGCTGGATGTGTTGAATCCCTGGTGTTTGGGTTGAATATTTCCTGTGGAGCAACACTGTGTTGGAGGGCATGTGTCTTTGGCCCTGGGCTGGGGAAAATGGGAACAGGGATAAGAGGTACAAGAGAAACAAGACCTCATCCTTGCCTTCACTTACCCTGTCCTCGTGCTCCTCAGGTGGAGTATGGCCCCTGTGTGGTAGCTAGCGACTGCTGGAACCTGCTACTGGAGTTTCTACAGAGTTTCCTAGGCAGCCACACACCAGGGGCTCCAGCGGTGTTTGGGAACAGACACGATGCAGTCTACGGCCCAGCAGACACCATGGTCCAGTACATGGAGCTCTTCAACAAGATCCGTAAGCAGCAGCAGGTGCCGGTGGCTGGGATTCGCTAATGACTGGCAGCGCCCTGGCTGAGCTCTGTCACCAGGGGACTTCACAGGAGGAATGGGTGTGCACCCGCAGACCCGCGGACCTCAGGAACCCAGGGCAGACATGGAGACTTCTTTCCCTCTACATCTCCCAGCTGTGACTTTGGTTCTGGGCTCTGGACTCCCCTCCCCTGGCCCTCACTCACAGCCCCTCAACAGCTGTTTCACCCCATGCCTTGTTGGACTTGGCCTCTCCTCAAGAACGGTAATTATGAAGAGTGGAGAAGTTCGGAGCTTTCCTGCTTTAGGGGAAAAGGTAGGACAGGGGTGTCCCTGCCTATTACTGGTGGGGAAAACATTCTGTATCTCCAGTTATTGTGATTTGGCCTTGGCCCATGTCATGCTGCATTTTGTGCTGGGCTGTGCTGTAATAAAGGTCTCTTCCTTTACTCAAGGGATGTGGCAAGGCCTCTCTCCTGGAGATGGAGGAAGCGCCACAAGTTGTTTGATGGCTGTCATTTTCTGACCTGTTTGCTAAAGTGAATGATGAACAGACATTTCTAGGGTGTTGCCTGAATCCTTCAAAATCTCCCTCTGGCCTCTTTCCATTCAGTTGTGAATTATGTTAAGCATGGGCTAAACTACTCTAACAAACAGAACCAAAGTGGTGGTGGCTCTTAGTAGAAATTGATTTTTCTCTTGTGATATACAGAGGCAGTCACACAGTTCAGGGAATATTGTATTCTACAAGGTTTTCAGGAACTTGGTCTCCTCTTGTCTTGCTGTTCAGCCACCCCTAGTTGTCTCATCCCCAAAGTCACAGCAGATTTATTCATGTCCATATTCTACTAGGGAAAGAGAGAAAGAACAAAAGCTATTGGTTGCTGAAATCACTGTGGCCACACTTTGCTGAAGGGCGACTGGGACATACAGCCTTTCATTTCATACAGCCTTTCATGTGCCCAGTTAAATCTCACAAGGGGTTGTGACTAAGAGATGGAGAAAAGTGGATGCTGGGGCCTCCATTTGTGACATATGCTACACAGAGCTCAATGGATGTGCCCAAGAATGTTATTGGCTTAGTCCTCCCTAAGCCCCCCGGAACAAAAAGCATTTATTTATGAGTTAGATTGAGGCACAATTGGTTCCAGAGCCACTTTCACTTTATCTGGCTAGATCAGCCATACCAAAGTAAATCCTGCATCCCTTTCCTAAGTGTTAGCATCAGGACCTCTCCAGTTTTCATGCACCCAGAGCTAAGGCTTAGAGCAGTTGACCCTAATATTTGTTCTGTGCTTCATGGTTTCCTGAACTCTTTTTCCTCATCTCATTTGAGCCTCCGTGGTGCTGACTTGACCTGTGTTACCTGCTGCTAAAGTTTCCAGTCGGGCTACAGTTCGATACACAGAGATGGATTTAGGAAATGTGTTGATGTATGTACTGCAGAGTACCCTCAAGGAAGCTGTCCCTCACTGAAGCATTTAAATAGAAATTGTTTTCAGAGCTGAAGTTTCTGCTTCAAGGATCAGTTAGTGGTCCTGTTTTCCTCTGACTTTGCCTGGCAGGATACTCAATTCAACTTTATAACTGCGGGAGCATTTTTGGTTCATACTTCTCCTTGGTTTTTTCATTTGCTCCTTTGATTCAGTTTTACTTTTTTTAGCTAAGGTGTGTTTTAGATATCACACACAATAAAATGCATGGATCTTAACTATTTTGGCCTTCTGATGTATGTTGATTTATTTGTATTTGTGTATAGGCTGCCTCAAATCTCTTATGAGATGAGAGAGCATTTAAGCACTATTTGGAACATAACTGTGTTCCTGAAAACATACAGTAATTGAGTGTATGAATGGATATGACTCTAGGTTTACATATTAAAAAGAGAGACTGTTTCCTTAAAAATAAAAAATAATACAAATTCCCTAACTAGAGTTTGCTTTTTTTTTTAAAGATTTATTTATTTATGCATACAAGAGCTGGGGTATAGGCCAGAGGTGCTGGAGGTGAGAGGATTCACCAGAGACAGAGTGGGGAACAGAACAGGCAGATTGACCAAAGTACACTGCTGAGGGGAGTAGCGGGCGAGTCAGGAGAGGTCTGCTGCACCAAGTGGGTTGCTCCCTGGCTGGCTGGGGATAGAACTCGTGCTGCAGAGGTTGCGGACAGCTTCATAGGTTGTGTTTTAAACCCTTGTGCCACCAGGGAGGCCCCTAGTTTGCCTTTTTAGACAGTCTTGGCTCATAAGTTTCCAGCATTTTTTGCTTTGCTTTTGTTCTTTTCTCTTATATTTGAGTGTACACCTGACCCACTTGCAGTCCAGTGAAAAGCAGACCAAGCTTTAAGAACTGCTTTTGTTCGTTTTTGTCCTTTGTGTCATTTAAAGGAAGTTGATCACTAAAAAAGACAGGTAAGGCACTGCATTTCTACAAATAGGGCTCCACTAGCAAAGCTGCCATGAACTGATTACTAGTGGGGAGCTCCCAAGAGTCAGTCCTCTTTTATGTGTAAGTCTGAATGAGGGTTGTAAGACTAGTTTAAGATTATCAGTAAATCATTTTTGAAAGTTCAGGTTGAATGAAAGTTGAGGGGTATTTGTGTAAATTTAAGGAAAAGGGCATGGTTAGCCTCATTATATAAATAAAAAATATTTAAACTCAATTAGTCAGTGAGATGCCATATATTTGGGTTGAAATTTGATGTTTTTTGGGCCTTCCTAGTGGCGCAGCAGATTGAGCGCAGAGCTGTGAAGCTGTCCACTGCCTCTGCAGTGCCGGTTCGATTCCTGGCTGGCCAGGGAGATTCCTACATGGGGAGGCAGACCTCTCCTGCCGCCCGCTGCTCCCCTCAGCAGTGTACATCGGTCCTTCTGCCTGTTCTGCTCCCTGCTCTGTCTCTGGTGAATTCTCTCACCCCTCGTGCCTCTGGCTGGCCTGTATGCCAGTGCTTGTATAAATAAATAAATCTTAAAAAAAAATTTTGGTGTTTTTCCTTCTATACTAGACTACCTTGTTACTCCTCTTTTTAAAAAAATATTTATTTATGCATACAAGAGCTGGGGTATAGGCCAGGGGTGGGGGGCGTGAGAGGATTCACCGTAGACAGTGGGGAGCAGAACAGGTAAATTGACTGAATTACACTGCTGAGGGGAGCAGCAGGCAAGACAGGAGAGGTCTGCCACACCATGTGGGTCAGCTCCCTGGTGGATTGAACTCAGATATTGCATTGGTTGGCAATAGCTTGATAGTGCTGAGACTTAATTAACCCTTTACACCTCCAGGAGGCTCCGCACTGTGACTCTTAAAGTAGGCCTTCGAATGTCTCCGCAGGTCATCAACTCTCAAGGGGCGCCTCATGAGACCTAAGATGCCATGGAATTGGATATGGTTTCATGTACATGTGCAGTTTTTATGGGGGGGAGGAGATAGATTTTATAGGTTTCATTAAAATATATCTTGAGATCTATAATCCAAACAAAAACAAACAAACAAAAAAAAAACCTTAAAGGGAGAAGAGATACTGAAGGGAAAATAGCAGGAAGGCAAAGATAAAGCGGGTTTGACTTGTGAGCAAGTCTCTTCCCTTGTTTTTTGGACCCTGGGGTCCTCTTCAAGGATTTTCCTGCTTCATTTTATAGTCCATGAGGCCTTGGGGTCAGTTTCTGGGAAAATGGACTGTTTTACTACTCTGATCTTTCCTGTGGTTTCCCCCTTCTCTTGTCTCTACACATAATACACTACCTTTTAGAGACAAGTAGGAGTAAATATGTATGAAGCAATCTTCATAGCTTTCTTTGTGGCCCCAGGAGTTACTCTTCTGTTATGACACACTCCATGGGATCTGAAAATTATCCTGTTGTAATGGAGTTCTCCATAATGAGTATATTTTCATTTTTCAAGATGATGCAATTGATGAGCCAGAGAAATAGATCTGCACTTTGCTGTTGAAATTAACAAGTTAAAAAAAATTCTTAGAACTATAAGGGGAATATTCCCACTTCTCTTGCATTTCTGTTTTATTTCTCAACATATTCCTGCCCCATAAGATAAGCATAGCATTGCTTTTTTTTTTTTTTTTTTTTCCCCTTTAAAAGCTGGAAAAGAGTATTTAGGGATATTTTTGTATCCTAGATTGTCCCAAAGACAGAATCCAATATTGAAAACCTTTTGTCCTATAGGAAATGCAAAAGTGGAATCTGGAGGTGACAGGTATCCAGGCAGCCAGCTAAAGGGAAATGAGCACTGCATTAGGAGACACATGAATGAGCGCCCTCCATTGTGACTTCCGTAAGTTGGTCTCTCTGGGTCTCATTTGTAAAGTGGGAGTAATGATACCTGCTTTCCATATTTTTTTTTAAATGATTTTTTTTTTTATTTATACAAGAGCAGGGGTATAGGCCAGATGGTGGGAGGGTGAGAGGATTCACCAGAGATAGAGCAAGGAACAGAACAGACAGACTGACGAAATACACTGCTGAGGGGAGCAGCAGGCAAGACAGGAGAGGTCTGCTCGCCATGTGGGTTGCTCCGAGACCTGTGGGGATCGAACCGGCACTGCAGAGGCTGCGGACAGCTTCACAGAGCTGCGCTCCACCGCCTGTGCCACCTGTACAAGAGCCAGGGTACAGGCCAAGGTGTGGGAAGTGAGAGGATTCACCAGAGACAGAGTGGGGAACAGAACAGGCAGATTGACCAAAGTACCCTGCTGAGGAGAGGAGGGCGAGTCAGGAGAGGTCTGCTGCGCCAAGTGGGTAGCTCCCTGGCCAGCCGGGGGATGGACTTGTGCTGCAGAGGCTGTGGACAGCTTCTGGGAGGACCCTGCTTTCCTTATTTATTTGGCTTTGAGAGGTTCAAGGGAGAATAGATGTGAAGATTGCTTTGTTAACAGGGAGCAATTGTCTCTACTTTTACATCTTTTTCATGGTGCTGAAGTTACTGGTGTTCTGTTAGCACATTTAAGGGGAGATCTCAGGGTTTGGTTAAAATTTTCCCCTGATGCAGGGCATTGTAATAGAGAACAAGCGGTACGGAGAAAGGCCCAGGGAATGTTTGTAGCACAGGTATATTTTTTGTTACTGGATCAGTGAGCACAGTTGTAGGGATCATTTCTGTGACGTGGAAATACGTTTTTAATACATATTCATAATAATGTGATTTTACTTGTTCTCTTGCAACTGAAAGAAAAAGAGGCCAGGCATTAACAACAACAACAAAAAAAAAAAAATGGGGAAAAATGATTGTATCTTTTATGTGAAACATATCCGTCCATTCCTCTCTCCCCTCATCTCCAAAGTTTTACTTTGCCTGTCTCAGACTGCCTTTTTTTTTTAATGCCGAGATGCCACAATTTTTAATATTGTGGTTGTAATCTTAACAGTTCTCTTTAAAAAAAGTTGAGCATTCCTGATTGTATTTTCCATTTTTCACTGATAAACCTCTTAATTTCTCAACTCTGATGCTATTTGAATTATCTAAAGTAACCTCCTTATTCTTTTTACTTCCATCTAATACGCAAGTCTCATATTTTTGTCTCAGGTTCTCCTTGATGCTCTTAAAAATCGAGTATCCAAAGAGCGTTTGTTTATGTAGATTATAGTTAATATTTACCTCATACTAAAACTTATGATAAAAAATTTACTAATTTATTTATAACAATAAACCTGTCACATTATAAATAAAATAACGAAAAATAACTGTTTTTCCAAACAGAATAATTTAGTGAGAATGACATTGTTTTATTTATATTCTTACAAATCTCCTAATAGTTGTAATAGAAGACAGTAGATTATCATATTTGCTTTTGCATTCAGTCTAGCAATTTGTTGCTTTGGTGGAAAAATATGAAGAAAATTTGACCTCATACAGATGTGAAGTTGGAAAAGAGGGGTGTATTAATAATCTTTTCAGAAAATTGTAGATAGTCTTTAACACTGCATCAAAACCCTGCCAAAGTTTTTTTGCAATATGGAATCTCAAAGTGGATCAGTGAACTTTTTGTATTCTATTAAAATTCATTGGTTTATTTTACACATTGAATGGATCTTTTACCAGTAGGTGACTTTGAGGTGACATGCATTGGTCATTGGGATAATATTGGCATATCTTCTAAATGTTGACACATTTCATTATACAATATTAAAAAAATCCTGTCTGTTACTATCAACCACTGATCTCATCAGAAACTTCTTGGGGAAACTGTTAAGTTCAGTGGTAAATACAAATTTTCAATATTTCTAAGTTTTGCTTGAAAGCTTGAGTTTGAGCATTGCTAACGAATGTAGTCAGGCTCCTTTTATTTTTGAGAAAGTGCCTGTCAAATACCAAAGGCTAAATGACTATAGTTTGTTAGCTCTTTTTTCAAATAAAAAAAAAAAGGGCATTCCATGAAGCTAATTCAGCTAAAACTCAGGAGAAATTGCAGTAGTCCTGTTCCTCAAGAAAAACATTCCTTGGGTAAGGACCATTCCCTGGGTAAGGACCATTCCCTGGGTAAGGACCATTCCCTGGGTAAGGAATGGTAGTGCTTTTTTTTTTTTTTTTTTTTAAGATTTATTTATTTATGCATACAAGTACTGGGATACAGGCCAGAGGTGTGGGGGAGGGGGGGCGGGGTGGTTTGAAAGGATTCACCAGAGATAGAGTGGGGAACAGAACAGGTAGACTGACTGAAATACACTGCTAAGGAGGGCAGTGGGTGAATAAGGAGAGGTCTGCTGCGCCATGTGGGTATCTCCCTGGTTGGGGATCGAACTCGTGCTGCAGTGGCTGCGAACAGCTTCATCGGTTGCATCTTTTTTTTTTTTTAAGATTTATTTATTTATGCATACAAGAACTGGGGTATAGGCTAGAGGTGTAGGGGGTGAGAGGATTCACCAGAGACAGAATGGGGAACAGAACAGGCAGATTGATTGAAATACAGTGCTGAGGGGAGCAGCGGGCGAGTCAGGAGAGGTCTGCTGTGCCATGTGGGTCACTCTTGCTGCAGTGGCTGTGGATAGCTTCATAGGTTGCGTCTTAACTCCTTGCACCACCAGGGAGGCCCAGGAACAGTAGTGCTTTATGTAAACATTCATTTAGTCACATAGGATAGTATTACTAAAAAGATGTGTACTTAAACCAAAACAAGTGATGTTTAGTGCTTCATCAAGGACTTAACTAAGTGAAACAGGCATTATTTTTTCCTGTGAATGAAGAGCCGTGAAGTATGCCCTGATGGCTAGTACAGTTTGGTGACTTTGCCTTCATTTATGCTAAGGTGGCCATTTCCCCATTGTTATTTCTGCATCAGTGCAAATGTCATCATAGTGACAAAGGCAAATAATGTCTTATGAAAAGAGTTTTGAATCCAGGGACCCCCTGAAAGAGTGTTAGGGATCCCGGGGACTCTACAGGCTACACTAATTAGAACCTAGTCTAACACATTGCCAAGGCACTGAGAATCTTTTCCCTATTCTGAGAGCATCCCTTCCATCAAAAGTCTTAAGTGGCTCTGAAATTCTTCACTCAACAAAACACCTATTTTGTGTCAGACACTTTGTTAAGGAACTAAAATTAAATAAGATACAATCTTTATTCTCCAAGGATTTTCTTGAGGAATTGAGTATAAGAAGTTAGAATGGAAGAATTCCTTAAAGAGAACTATGTTAAAGGTGATAGACAACAAAGGAATGCTAAATTTTAAGTCCAAGCTCTTAAACAATATGGCAAACCCTCACCAAATTTATACATATATATCTCCACCCCCTCTCCTTCCATAAAATCTCTTAAAAATGGCCCAAGTTTGGCTTTAGAAATGTTTTCACATTTAACGGGGCTTGGCTCTAGGCATGGTAGTTTCATTTTTTTAATTGTTCCTATTTTTTAAAATTGTTCTTCGGCTTTTGTGCTTCTCTAGTTCATATTACAAGCGTGTAGCCTTGAACTAGTGTAGCTAGTGTAGCTGAGTGCATGTTTGTTTCTTTTGCTTGGCCGTTTATTTAAATGTAAACCTTGACTTAGCCAAGTGTTGGGTGATGTAAATGTTGATGTAATTTTGGGTAACGTCACCCTCCCCTTCCTCGCAAATGATGACGCGACAATGCACCCCAAGAGACTGCTGGCCAAGGAAGTCTTTTCTGAGGCTGAGAAGACTTGTAGAAACAGCCGCTGATCTGTTACCCATGGTCTCCATGCCCACCATCTGCTAAACTTCTTCAGTTTCCAGCGCGAACTTCTTCCTCGGTAGGATTTCCATAAAACAGCTGAATCCCTCCTGGGTCATCTGTGGCAAAAGTCAGACACGTGCTTGCCCGTCTGGGAGCGAACAGTAACTTTTGCAAACGCCGCCTAAGGAAACCCCACGGTGCGGAGTCTGCTGCTTTCGGAACGACACTTAAAAAATAAGCCTTAAGAGAACAAAACAAAAACAGATGGGATAGTGAGAAGGACTCTCACCCATTGGCACTGGGGAGAGATGTTCAAGGTGGCCTAAGCGTGTGGAAGCTAAAGTAAATTCCTCTACAGGTTCCGAGGGTTGAAGGGATGGGGAGAAAGGGGCGGGGATGGGCTTGGGAGGGTCTCTGGCCCTTTAAGGAGGAGGGACCGACGTGGGACTCTGTACCTTTAAGAGTTTCTTTGTCTGGAAACCTCCTTATTTACCCTCCTGTGCTTCAACCAAACTTCGACCGGCGATTCACAGCGCCCCTCTACGCCGCCGCCCCTTACGCCAGGCTCAAATCGGCCGCGCGTCTGTGGCTGACCCTAAACTGGGCGCCCGCGGCGCGAACCCTCACCGCCGTCTGTGCAGGGGTCGGGGCCCTGCGCTGCGCTGTTGGCGCAATGCGGGGCCCGGGGGGCGGGGCTCCGGCGGGCGGGCCAATGGGCGGGCGGGGGGCGGGGCCGAGTTCGGTTGTCTCGCGCCCTGGTGACAGCTCGCGCGTGCTGATGATGGCGGTAAATAGAGGGGGGTCGGGGAGGGGGCCGAGGAGGTGGGGAGGCAGCGAAGCGGGTAGCTCCGGGGGTGGGGGGTCGGGGGCCGGGGAGGACGCGAAGACCCGGGAGCCCATTCTAAGACTCGGAGGCGGGGACAGGAGTCTCCGGCTCGCTGGCCCTCCCCTTTAAAGCAGCGAAATCCTCTCAGCCCGGGTGAGGGGCGACAAAGGCGGCGCGCGCCGGCGGGCGGGAGGAGCGGGCCAGGGGGCGGGGCCGCGGCGCCGGCGGGCTGGGGGCGCCCGGGGCGGGGGCCGGCGGGAGACGGGAGCCGGCTGTCCGGGCGCGCCGGCGCGGGGTTTTGGCGGGGTGGGCGACCCCTGGGTCTGGTAGGAAAGCTGGAGGGGAGAGTGAAAGGAATGCCAGGGGCGGCTGGGGGGACCGCACTGAGAATGAGATGAGAAGGATTAAGGAGAGAAAGGGTTAGAAGCCGGGGAAGGAGGAGAGGGGAAAGCCTGGGTGGGTGTGAGGAGAGCCGCGCAGGGAAGGAGGTTACGAAGACCAAGGCTCGGAAGAGGGATCCAGGGGGAAGGTATCAGAGCAGAGATTGGAAGGGGAGAGCTGTGCACACTGTGGCATGAGGGTGAGGGGGACTGGGATACCCAGTGTGGGAAGTGGAAGGCAAGGAGGGCCAGGCGGGGGGAATAGTTGGGAGTAGAGGAGAGAGTGATTAAGAGCCAGACGTGACAAGGGTGTGAACTAGTGCAGAGCAAGATGAGCTGAAGGACCTGGACCGGCGGTGGGGTGGGAACTGCGAGGTTCTGAGAAAGATAGGGATCAGTGGGTGGGCAATGGGTGTAAATTCTTGAAACTGAGGGAGGGTGAATGAGATACTGGACTAGTACCAGGCGGAGTTAGGAATAAGAGCGTGGTGCAAGGGGGAAAGCAAATCGAGATGAGAGATGGGGCTTTTATAGGACAATTCAGAGACCAGAAAAGCTCAAAGGAGAAGAGAGTAAGGATGTAAGAAGTGCTGGCTCTCTGGGGCAGGGTAGCTGGGGAATTGTGTTAATTGAAGAGGTTTGTCAAGATCCCAGCTAAAAACAGGTGAAGAGGCAGGGCTAAAAGCAGTGATGGGAGTTGCTAGGAAGAGATGGGCCCCCAGGAACGAAAGGTTGAAATGGGAAGGAGGGGAAGAGAGTAGGGAGCTATGGGTGTCCTGGTGAATGTGAAACTGAGGTAGATTGCACAGGGGAGGAATTAAATGTGCATGTTTTGGGGAGATGCTCCAGAAGGTTTGTCTGGGTTAGGGCACACAGGCTGTAGTGAGGGATCAAGTGCAGGGGGCCTTTGGTGCAGAAGAGGAGGAACCATGGTGAGTGAAAAGAGACTTAGAGCTAAGGGTAAAAACTAAAAAGGAGTGGAGGTGGGGATGCAGGAAAGGGATTCTTTGTAGAAAAAATAACTGTTGAAATTGTGAATCCTTTTGTCCGCAAATGTAGGAAATTCTAGAAACCTTTCTTCCAGGAATCTTGAATGTTTCCACCTTTCGCTGCTTTTAATTCTTTCATGCCCACTTTGAAAATATGAGACCTATTTTGGTTTGATTTTGTTCTTGGATGAATGATAAAACATCAACCCAGTGCTGAAAACCTCTGCATTTCTCCAGTATTGTGATAATGGAAAAATGGGTTGTATTTATTTACAGTTGACTGTGCTTGCGTGGTGTGATAGTGTTTGGTGTTGTACCTGGCAAGATCTGGGCAGAGTGCTTTATCTACAGCATTTTCATTTTCAATGGAGGGCCCACTGCTGTTGAGATAAAGATGAGAATCTTTTTGTTGCCATTAATCAACCAGATTTCTGCTTAATTGTTTCCAGTGGCTGGAGAATATTGAGAAATCATTTCAGAGAAAAGCAAATAACCAATCAGGGAAGTTTGCTGGGGAGAGATTTAAATCAAGGCTATGAGGGCTTTGAGTTCCCAAGCTACCTTTAGCTTTGTGTGGGACATTTTATTCTAAGTGGGTAACTCATCCATTTAACAAAATGGAATAAAGAAAGAGGGATTTGCAGACTAGTGGAGGATTTTAGAGTAGGATTTATCTCTTATGTTAAATGATAAATTTATGAATAATTTCATGAAAAAACCTGTGATAATGCAAGCTGGAGTCTTGGACAGCTCCACTGCCTCTCCTGTTTTGAATAAAGAAAGCCTTACTAATATTAATTTTCTAGATTTTGATTCTTAAGGAACTTTTGGAAATTAAAAGGAAAATAAGAAATTTGGAACAAAATTCTTACTATTTTGTTGTGATGATTTTTGATTCTGTGCTTACATTTAGCTTACAATATGAACAATTATTGTTTTGCATTTGATGGTGCTGAAGGGTAGTATATAATTTACTTGAGAAATGCAAACTCTTCTTGAGACTCTTATTTGAGGTCATTTCATTTAATATACATTCAGAGACACAAAGATTTTTTTTTTTGAAAGTTGTGTAAATTTTGGATTGCTACTATTCTGTGGCTGTTGGTGTAAATAGTAAAGATTCAGTTGGTGATATTTGTAATAATTAGCAAAGATTAGACTTTGATCGGACACATTGGTTATTAATGTACATGACTAGTTTAGAATCTTAAATCTTTCTGAATTCAGCTGCTGTGTTCATGGATTCTGAATTCTGTTAAGCAGGTGTTCAAGGAGACTAGGGTGATTTAGCAGTTTGAGAGGGTTTTTTAAAATTACTGTTTTTTTTTTTTTTTTGCTGGGGTTGTCTGAATTTTAAATTTTAAGAGGGTTGTCTGAAATGTTAACTTTCAGGTTAAGATGTGACTTTGGTGTGTGGTACCTGTTTCTGTGAGATGTGTGTGCACATTCCCTACTTTATAAATGTATGTGGGTTGGCATTACTAGGAGGTTGTGCTCTGTGGGTGTTATCACCATTTTTTAATGTACCGTTTTATGTTTGGTATCTTTACATAAATTATTTTAGACTTATTTGATATTGATGAAGAAGAAAATATAAACTACAGAATCAAAGGGGAAAAAAAAGATCAATCAAAGGAAAGAATGGGTCCTATCTTTTGTTTCTGTATGGTGCTGCAGTGTGCTAAATCACCAGTTACATTTGCATGGTTACTTCTCACTTGATAAAGCTAAAAATGAATAATCTTTTAATTCAAATATTACTATATATCGACAGGGACTCTAGTGATAAAAGTCAAGCTTTATCTGCATTTGCTTAAATAGAATTCTACTTAACTATTTGGTTATAAGCTTACCTACTAAGTAAAAAAAATTAAGTTTATATTTTCAGATTTGAGTTGGTTGTTCATTATTAAATATTTTTCTGGTTAATTATAGATTCTTTGGATGGGAAGAGACCTTGAAAAGACCGCTAGCTTATCCTGCAACTTCAGTCAATATCCCACTTAAATCATCCCAGGTAGATAAAAATTTATTCTATTTTCATAAATCTTCAGTGCTAATGTATTAACCTTTGTAGCTAATCCTTTCTAGTTCTTTTTCTCTATAAGGAGCATTCTCTTCTATCTAACCAGCACATACCTAGTGCTCTGTGTCCTCTCTAGTCCCATTCTCAATGTGAGTTAAAAAATACCTACTTACTATAGTATTTATAAGACCATAGTTCTTCATAAACTTTTTTTTTATATAGAGGCATGTTTTCTTTCTTTCTTTCTTTATTTGTTTTTTTTTTGTTTATACAAGCACTGGGTACAGTCAGAAGCGCGGGAGGGTGAGAGAATTCACCAGAGCCAGAGCGGAGAGCAGAGCAGGCAGAAGGACCGAAGTACACTGCTGAGGGGAGCAGCGGGCGGCAGGAGAGGTCTGCGCGCCATGTGGGACCCTCCTCCGGTGGCCGGGGAGCAGCCGGGGATCGAACCGGCGCTGCAGAGGCTGCGGGCAGCTTCGCAACCTAGCGCTCAACCGCTGCGCCACCGGGGAGGCCCCTTCATAAACTTAATGATAGTAGCTAGCCCCCTGTTGTAAGCTCTTTGCAAATTATAACTCATTCACTCTTCACAGCAATCATATGAGTTCCCACTATTACTATTCCCATATACATATGATTGAAATAGAGGTTTCTTGAGATTAAATTTTTGTTCAAGTTTATATTGATATACTTTTCCAGCTCTTTTTTGATAGTTGATGATCTTTTCCAACAAAGAATACTGGGTATTTGCTGTTTTGTTTTTTTTTTTTGGAGGGGAGGGGTCATATAGTAACCAAATGATACATTTAATCTCTTTTTAGTATCTAAGGTAGAATTCTACTAAGTTGTAGAATGGGTTTTGAGCCTTGGCATTTTACCTGCAGAGTCTGTGCTTTGACTCATTGTGCTTTGGTATAAACTCCCTTTGACTGTTGTAAAGTCATCCTTCAACCCAGTCTTCTCCAGATTAAACAGTGCTGGTTTATTTATCTCATAATGCTTCTTGATGGCCAATCCTTAAATTATCCTTATGGTTATTATGGTAATTCTCAGTTCCTTTCTAGATTGGGAATTTGAGACAAAAGCCATAAAGATCACCTCTAAGGCAAAAATGACATAAAACCTCTTACATGTACCTATTTTTTTTTTCTATACATAATTATATTTCTAAAAGAAGAAAGAACCCAAGACTAATGAAATGCCTTAATTGCATTGCAACTGAGTAGTTACCTATACATTTTTAGTAGAGAAAGGCCCTACCATAGAGGTTTGTAGTTGAGAGATTGCTGCTGATTAAGGAAAAATGGCACTCAGAGATCCACAAGTAAAAAAAATCTTTTAGACTCTGGCTGTTTATTTTTACTGTGTTCCCTTTTATGTGTGTTTGGGTCAGTAATATAATAAGTGTATTTACACAACTTCAATTGGGTTAGATAAATTGATCCACTCTTTTCAAATTTTTTTATTAAGACTTAATTTGTTTAGAGCAACTTTTTTTTTAAAAAGATTTATTTATTCATGCATACAAGAACTGGGTACAGGCAAGATGTGGGGGAGGGTGAGAGGATTCACCAGAGAGAGAGTGGGGAACAGAACAGGCAGACTGACTGAAATACACTGCTGAGGGGAGCAGTGGACGAGGCAGGAGAGGTCTGCTGTGCCATGTGGTTATCTCTGTGGCCGGCCTGGACACAGGCCGCAGCTGTGAAGCAGACAGCTTCACAGAGCTGCACTCAACTGCCTGGAACACCAGGGAGGCCCAACTTTTTTTTTTTTTTTTTTTTTTTTTTAAGAAAGATTTGTTTATTTATCTGTACAAGAACTGGGGTGTAAACCAGAGGTTGGAGGCGTGAAAGGATGTAGGGGCAAGATGGCCACTGAGCTGGTTTTCTGATGATCCAAGTAGACTGGGTAAAGGAGGAGTCCTGGAGCCCTCAGTGGCTTTCTCAGGCTTTTATTGAGCTTTTACATGTAGGGCAGCAACCAGGTACACAGCAGGCAGGGGTGCTGGGAGGCCAGGAAGCTCCCAAGCCCCCTCTCCCCCCAGTCTTCACTCTGGGCTTCTTTCTCCCCTTCTCTCTCTCCTGCCTCTTATGCTTCTGCTTCTCTTGGCCACTATCTCAGTACTCCTTAGATGGCCCACAGATGTAAACAACACAGCTTACAACAGTGTAACAACTGCGGGTGCCCCATCAGGCAGGGCAATCCTAATGGTGGGAGGGCAAAAAAGCCTGAAAACCATTTACCCTACAGAGGACCCACCAGAGACAGAGTGGGGAGCAGAACAGGCGGATCTACTGAAATACACTGCTGCAGGGAGCAGTGAGTAAGACAGGAGAGGCTTGCTGCACCATGTGGGTTAGCTCCCTGGCGGGCTGGGGATTGAACTCTTGCTGCAATGGCTGGTGATAGCTTGATAGTGCTGTCTTTAACCCCTGCGCCACCAGGGAGGCCTTGTTTAGAGCAACTTTTAAGTTCACAGCAATGAATGAAAGTTACAGAGATTTCTCATATGCCCCCATGGATGTATACCCTCTCTACTGTCAACATCCCTACCCAGAGTGGTCCACTTGGTACAATCTGTCCACTCATTAAATGAAGAAAACAACTAATAATTAGATTAGTGTTTACACTAGATTAGTATTTACTAGATGATCTAAGCATGTGAATTGTTTGAAATTTGCAACAACCGTATTATAGGAACTTTGTTTGTTAATACCCTATTTTTGGTGACTTGATTTTTTAAAATAATTTTTCCAACTTGATATTGCAAAAATGGTAAAGGAATTTTTTTTCTTGTTGAGGTAAGGTTGGTTTACAATGTTATATATGACTTAGGGGAATAGGTTCACACCTCCTCATAGGTATGTTATAAGTAACTTCTCTAGGCCTTTTAAAAAATTCACCAGTTGGGGCCTCCCTGGTGGTGCTAGGGGTTAAAGCACCACAATATGAAGCAATCACAGCCTCTGCAGCACGAGTTCGATCCTGGCTGGCCAGGGAGCAGCCCACATGGTGCAGCAGACCTCTCCTGACTCGTCCACTGCTCCCCTCAGCAGTGTATTTGAGTCAGTCTGCCTGTTCTGTTCCCTGCACTGTCTCTGGTGAATCCTCTCACCAGCATCATCTTTGGCCTGTACCCCAATTCTTGTATGCATAAATAAATCTTTTTTTTTTTTTTTAAGATTTATTTATTTATTTATATAAGCACTGGGTATAGTCAGAATCGCAGGAGAGTGAGAGAATTCACCAGAGCCAGAGCAGGGAGCAGAGCAGGCAGACTGATGAAGTATACTGCTGCGAGGAGCAGCAGGCGCAGCAGGAGAGGTCTGCACGCCATGTGGGAACCTCGCTGGTGGCCAGGGATCGAACAGGCACTGCAGAGGCTGCAGGCAGCTTCGCAGCCCAGGGCTCAACCGCTGCACCACCGGGGAGGCTCTGCATAAATAAATCTTTAAAAAAAAAAATTCACCAATTGTGTTCATTTTGTCCTATTTGCTTTTTCCTTTTTTAAGTCAGTGAATTTGAAAAAAATGAAAAGAAATGAATGCCTTAATATCAAAAGGAAACGGGAAGAATGTTTTGAATGTGTTAGCAAGTTGGCTTGTGTTTTATTTTAGGCATGTGAAGCAGAGGAATCTCAAGATCGGATTTAGAGTGAATTTTGTGATTTTTATGGTTTGTTGCCTTCAGTATAATCTGAAAAACATTCTTTTTACCTGTGAATGGTGAGTCTTTAGGTTCCTCCTTCACCAGCAAAAACTGTTCTGTGGTGTACCCCACTGTTTGGGGAACCTCTTTAGCAGCTGGCATGTCGTACTCATACTGGTGGGTCCTCAGGACCTGCTAGTTATTGATGATGCGTGGGTGATTATTATGTGAGAAGCAGGAGCCACAGTGCCATTCAACACCATGACTAAGACATTTAGGTGAAATAAAAACTGTGTTTTGAAGATCCTGTGTAACTTCAGGGAGCTGGAAATGATCTAAATGCGAAATATACTGCTTTAAGAACATTGCTTGACATTAATACAAATAAATTTGCCTTATGAAAGGGAATAAATATAAGCATCTTAACATTCCATACTTCTCCTCCTTCCCCCAGATAAATCTAAATTTTGGAGTCTTTTTTTAATTGTTGTCATACAAAGAGATTTAGGAGACCCCACCCCCACTGCTGCCTTCCAGCTCATCCTCATCTTTGTTAAAGTGATAGCCTGTCCATTGATAAATGAAATGCTTGACCTACAGAATGAGGCCCGATTCAGTGAAAGTACTCTTCACTGTGTTCTGGCAAATGTAAAACACAGCACTTGTGGGCTTCTTTTCTTTCCCCCCTTCTTTAAGTGATCATGAAAGCTATGAAATATGGCTCCTTATTAAAGCTGATTGTAATAATTAAAAACACGTTGCTTTCACAAGGATGAGAAAATTACAAATTATTTGGGAAGCATTCTTTCCAGTCAAGCATTATTGTTTCTGAGACATGGGCAGTTTTTAAAGACTATAATATTCTTCCTTTGCCATTTACATGTTAATAGAAATCTGAAAAGTAAGGCGCTCTTCTGAAATTTTCAGGGTTGTTTTTAGTATATGTCAAGTTGTAAACAGCATTCTCTGACAGGTATTTTCTCTCTTTGTCTTCTATTGAGCTAATTAGTAATTTACACTCTAGTAGCATCTCTTTCAGCCTCACTGTGTGAAAATGCCTGCTCCTCTGTGCCTTCCATTCAGCCTGGGCTGGCAAATGATTGGGGGCAGATGTTGGTTAGCACATCAGAAGGCTCAGGGATAAAATTAATTTTTGTGTTGTGTTTTTAATAAATTACAGGCTTTTGTATGTGCCTTTCCCCTGCCCCGCCCCCCATTCAAACAGGAATGTTATGACCTATAATCCAGTCACTGTCCTTGATTCAACTTCCCATTGCTTTCTGTTCTGTCCCCCACCCCCATCCCAATGTTGTGGGATTTGGGGAGGATTAGCAGGGCAG